TTGCGCACAAATAAGATGAAGGAAGAATGAATGCGTTTCAGAAAGCAGGCGTGGGCATGTGGGGAAAAAGAATTCGCGAAAATTCGGCAGCCTGAGGTGTAGATCTCGTGGCAAGCGCAGCGCTTTCGCAGACTCGGGCGCAGATTGCGTGACAGGCGCGGCGTTTGTGCAATGCTTCTGTGGACGTGTCGCAAATTTCATCGCGCAAACAGGCACATGCAGATTTCGTCAAAGGAGCAGGACAGCGCTTTCGTGGCAACCGTGGCGTTTTCGCAAGGTTTTCCTGGCAGGCGCGGCGCTAGAAGAAGATAAACAACTTAGGAAGAAATAGATGGATAGATAGACAGATAAATGGCTAGATTGCTAGATAGTTAGATAGAAAGACAGGGAGAGTGGATAGAGAGACAGGTAGATAGACTAACATAGCTTAGATAAATAGGTAGGTAGGTAGGTAGGTAGGTAGGTAGATGGATAGGTGCATAGGCTGGACAGATGGAGTCATACAGCTAGATAGCTGGATGGATGGATAGACAGATAGATGGATAGATAGATAGAACAAGAGAAAGAGGAAGGGTTACATATGTGATCTACGCGAAGCATTTTCTTGACAGACAGGCCGTCAGGAAAGAACGAGAATCAGAAGGGAAAGGCGCAGAGAAAGAGAAAATTAAAAAGAAGAGTGAGAAAGATCAACAGAAAACAGAAAGAGTCAGCGAAAGAGTAGGAGAAATAACGAAAGTCAGAGAGAAAAGGGAAGAAAGAGAGCAAGAAGAGAAAGACAAGAAAGAACAAAAAGGAAGAAACAATCAAGAAAGAAAGAAGAGAACAGAAGAGAAGAGAGGAGGAGAGACGAGAAGAGAAGAGAAGAGCAGAGAGAGAAGAGAAGAGAAGAGAAGAGAAGAGAAGAGAAGAGAAGAGAAGAGAAGAGAAGAGAAGAGAAGAGAAGAGCAGAGAGAGAAGAGAAGAGACGAGAAGAGAAGAGAAGAGCAGAGAGAGAAGAGAAGAGAAGAGAAGAGAAGAGAAGAGAAGAGAAGAGAAGAGAAGAGAAGCGAAGCGAAGAGAAGAGAAGAGAAGAGAAGAGAAGAGAAGATAAGAGCAGAGAGAGAAGAGAAGAGAAGAGAAGAGAAGAGAAGAGAAGAGAAGAGAAGAGAAGAGAAGAGAAGAGAAGAGAAGAGAAGAGAAGAGAAGAGAAGAGAAGAGAGAGAAGAGAAGAGAACAGAAGAGAAGGAAGAGAAAGACAGAGCGAGGGTGAACGAGAAGTAAAGCGAGAAAGAGCAAAAAAAAGAGAAGGGAAAGAGACCCATAGTTCTTATGTTTCGAATGTGCGCCAACCGGCTTTGTCGGCCCTGCTCGTACTTACGTGTGATTCTAAAAAATCCTTCTGTCAGTGAGAGGGAGCGACAGAGGGCTCGTGGTAGTCCGAAAACCGGGACCAGCGGCGCAGAGGTGGTTGCAACTGCCGACACCCTGATGCGGCTACATCAGCAAGGGCCTGAATCAATAGAATCGGCATGTGAGGTATTAAACCAAAGTAGGGATTATTCGCTAGGGTAAACCGCTGGCCCCTTTTAGGGGAGACACTTCCAAGCCAGGACTCCCAGTCAAATTCCATAAGGGTATGTTTCAATATAGGAGGCCCCGCGCGGGTGGTTTGCGAGCGGTGTCCCTTTAAACCATCCCCCAAACACGGTAAACACGGTAACAAAAACACATGCGAGTAGGGGCGTCACCTCCCAATTTCCCGGCTGAGGAACATCACCAAGACCTTCTGCGCCCTGAACGGCATCGCTCTGATTGTCCGAAGCCACCAATGCGTGGAGGCTGGAAAACGGATGAAAACATGGAAGCGGGCCTCTCCGTTTTTTTCTTCCTCTCTCTCTCTCTCTCTTTTTGTCTCTCAATCTCTCTATCTCTCTTTCTCTTTCTCCCTTCTCCCTTTCCCTCTTTCTGTCTTTCTCTCTTTCTGTCTTTCTCTCTTTCTGTCTTTCTCTCTTTCTGTCTTTCTCTGTTTCTGTCTTTCTCTCTTTCTGTCTTTCTGCCTTTCTCTCTTTCTCTCTTTCTCCCTTTCTCTCTTTCTGTCTTTCTCTCTTTCTGTCTTTCTGCCTTTCTCTCTTTCTCTCTTTCTCTCTTTCTCTCTTTCTCTCTTTCTGTCTTTCTCTCTTTCTGTCTTTCTCTCTTTCTCCCTTCACCCTTTCTCTCTCTTAGTCTTTCTGTCTTTCTCTCTTTCTGTCTTTCTGCCTTTCTCTCTTTCTCTCTTTCTCTCTTCTCTCTTTCTCTCTTTCTCTCTTTCTCTCTTTCTCTCTTTCTCTCTTTCTCTCTTTCTCCCTTCTCCCTTTCTCTCTCTTAGTCTTTCTGTCTTTCTGCCTTTCTGTCTTTCTGCCTTTCTCTCTTTCTCTCTTTCTCTCTTTCTCTCTTTCTGTCTTGCTCCCTTCTCTTTCTCTCTGTTTGTCTTTCTGTCTTTTTATCTTTCTCTCTCCCTCTCTCTCTGTATCTCTTTCTCTCACTGACTTTTCATAGCGGCGTTTGTCGTTTACTTTGGGCTTTCCTAGTAACAGCTTTGGCACAGCTATCTGAGGGCGGCAAAGGCTTCGAGGTGATGCACGACCAGCACCTGGTCCGAGTCTTCTCTGCCCGAGACTACGAGGGCCACCGCAACGATGCAGCCACTCTTCATATCGAGTGCGGGCCCCGGTGGCGTTGTTCGTAAGGCTGTAAGGCCTCTTGAAACCATGTGAGTAGAACCGGCAGTTAATGGGAATTCAGGTTCCACGAAATAGAAGAGACAGAGAGAGAGAGAGAGAGTGAGAGAGAGTGAGAGAAAGAGAAAGAGAGAGAGAGAGAGAGAGGGAGAGAGAGGGAGAGAGATGGGAGCTAGGCACACCTACATTCTTTCAGAGAAGATGGTCGCCCTGGGATATTTTCCGTTGCACAAATCAACTGAGGCGACTGGTTGGTAAGTGAGGGTGCCCAAAATGGGTTCGGTTCGATCAAACGGGTTCCAAAGAACACGATATTTGTCGCATCCGCTCTCGACACCCGCCCAAACTTCATGCCGTTTTTCGGCGCAGGAAGGGGAGGAACGACGGCCTGGGTCTCAGCGTGCGGGCCCAGTGCTTGCGGAGCTTCACCCAAAGCAGCACCCCCACGAGCACCCGCAGCCCCGGGGTGCACAGCCGATGCTCGGATCGAAAGAATACGTGAAGGAATGCACGCTGCCAGGTGTGTCTTTGGAGAACCCCGCTGGTCTCCCCGTGGTTTCTCTGTTGGTTTGTTGCAGTTTGCTTGGATGTTAGGACCTTAACTTTTTGCCAACTACTGGGTTTTCCATGAAACCAGCGGGCCTCCGTGGTGGGATTTGTTGCACGTTGTTCTTGTTTGGGCCCTGAGTTGGGAATGCAACAGAAAGCTTCGGCTTTCTGCTTGGACATTGGTGCTGTTGCTATGAATTTGATAGGGAACCTCAAGACTCAAAAGTGGTTGGTTGCACGAACCCCCACTTAATGTCCAGCAAAAGGCCCTCGAAATCCACACTTGTGTGGGTTCCCAAAGTCGCCCTCAGTCGCGTTGCGTCCGCGAGAGAATAGCTCACTCTCCGCTCATGAAGCGAGTGGCCGTCAGCTTCACTTTGCCTACCTGAGTGTGTGGTCGAATAGGAGCAAGAACCACTGGCGTCTAAGTGATAGTCAAACAAAGCGCAGACCTTGGACCCACTTGCCAACGAGCAAATGAGCAAAAGGGAAGTTTCCAATCACACAAGGCAATCACACATCAGTCTGAATGTAGATTCCCCATTCTTTTCACTCCATCCGTCTGTTCATAAACAGAAGGATCCCGAAACAGAATGCCTTTGGCTAGAAACTCTCTTCTGAGCATAACCTAGTAGATTGGTTTTGTAACACCCTACCCCATTCCGAAACGTTCTGAAAGGTGGTTGGCGTAGTTGGTTTCTGTGCAGACGCTTGCTTTCATGTCGGTGTCTGAAACTTTCCTCCCTCATGCTTTTTTTTTCTGGTCGACCTACTCAGTGGAGCAAACACCGAGGCTTTCGAAGCGGTGCTCGGGACCTGCATAGGGATCTAAGACCGATGTCGCTGGAGCAGCGCCCGAAACACCCCCCCATTGGCCCATTGGTTAGTTCCGATACCCTGAAAAAGTGGGCACAATCTCATGTCCACCAACGAATTGGTTCGACCGATTCATCACCTGGTTCGAGTGCTGTGATCAGAGGTTCCGAACACCGCGCGAATCTCAGGGAAGCCGAGCCGGGGATCTTTGTGCACTCCAGCCGGATACCCGAATGACGCATTTTAATACATTCCCTCGATCTGGTTTGCTGACTTGATCATGCATCATAGACTTTTCTCATCCGTTGTCTCATGAGACCAGACCATGGGTCACGCGAGATTCAGCCTCCGTTTCCATTTGCCTCAGGTCAGAGAGATCCTGAAAGGGCATCTCAGGGTTGCTTTCCCTCAAGTGCTTTTTGGAGGAAGTTGTCAAAACGATCCAAAGACAGACATACAGTAGATGGGCAACATCCTGCACCAGTTGGGATGAATTTATTATCCCTATGAATACCTACTAACTGGTGCAACATTTTGTGTTTTAGTATGAGCCACTGACCATTTTTTTGGCAGTCTACATTGGTAGGACATGGTCCAGCCAAAGTTTCCAGACAAAAGAAACCAGGAGAACCCAAGTTTCCTGCGACCTTCGAAGGGCCCCAAAACAACGGGGGCTGGCTTCAGTCATAAACATGGAGATGCGCCTTTAAACAGGAGACCCTCCAAATGGCTTCCGAGTTTCCTTTTTTCCCTCTACAGCCACTCCATGAAGGGGCTCACGGGTGGGATTCAGTTTTTTTGGCTTTCCCTGACATCCCTCGAAAGTGGATATGATTTCGAGTTGAGGACCCTGGCAGCAATACACACGGATGCATGTCCGACGGGGCTTCTGAGTTCGCAAGGTCACTGGTTTCTTTGCTAGGCTTCCTTCTTGAGCTAGGCTTCCTGGTTGAGAAGGAATCATTGACCGGCAGATTATGTCGAAGGAGATCATGGAGACACACAAAAATGCCGTTTGCACGAACAGGCATGACAAAATACAAAAGTGGGACGATCTAGGTGTGTCTTGTCCACAAGGACAAAGCACTTCCTGCGGCCGAAATTAATCTGATCGCCAGTGGCTCGCTCTGCCCCGACATCTTTGGCGCAGAAAGGAATCTCGGAGAGGCCAGAAAGGTCTTCTGCGACCCTAAATCCCCCAAACCCCTAAACCCCTAACCCCCCAAACCCCCCATTTTCCCGCAGGATCTGTGCTGGGCAGACCTCAGCCTTCTTGCACGGCAAGAGCTCACCTCTTGCCTTGAGGTTTCCAGCTGGTTTCCTGGCGGCCGCGTGGTGGACTTTGGAAAGAGACCAAGGCTTTGTCAATCTACAAAGTGGGCAGCTTCGCTTGAAAAAAACGGGTTGCGGAGTTTTTTTTTTTTTTTTTTTTGCGGTTCCCTTTTCTCTCCCCAGGCGGGATCGATCGTTTTGTCCACCCAGAATGGGTCTGCACCTTTAGAGAAGGTTGACCCCCGCGCTCTTCAAAGCGCTCGCGCGATCAAAGGCGAGCAGAAAAAAGGACTGCGAACCTTCCTCTCTCGAACCACGCTTGGCATGGCTTTTTGTTCTTTCTGGCAATGAGTCTACTCTCAGGTAACCTTTAGTTAGTTTGGATTGGTGATTTGGATTTGGATTTGAAGCCCTGGTTCTAGAGGGTTTGCATGGGAACCCCCTCCAACTCGGATGACCATTGGGGGAGCCAAAAATATTTGATATGTTAACCACATGGGAGAAGTCAGCCATGGTCAAAACTGGGGGTTGAAGGGAATATGGATCAACCCCCAAATACTCATCAGACAGTTTTTGAAAGGGGTTCTGCACTTCCATTTGGTGGGTTTCTACTGTGGATGGACGAAATTCGTTCGCAGCACGAAATGAATCCACGGGAAGCCATTGTTGGTATTAACAGGTGAATCATTCAAGGGATTGATAGGTGGTGCAGGATTTTGTCCATCCACAGTATGGCCTGGATTTGAAGGTGTTGGGGGTTCCCGAAATTTCCATTTGGTGAAGTACTACGTGCACACGAGTTTCCCCAAGCGAAACCGTTGATGAACCCCTTTGTTCCAGGTACAGGAATACAACAATCCGGGAGAATTCAAGCGACCGCGGCAACACGTGGCAACCGGGGTTTGCGACCGACTTCTTTCATGATGCAAGTTCGTTGCTTGAGGTTTGTGTCTTGTTTCAAGTTGGTGAATACTCAGAGGTAATTCAATGTTTACGATGTGGAGCTCTATACTGTAGCAATCTGGGTGCGTCAAAGTTACGGTACACCAGAATGATTGCTTTCAGGTAGTTCTTCCTTTCAACCACCCAGCAGGCAAGCCTCCAAAACGACAGTAGGAGCGTTTCCCCCAACATAGGACCCCATCAAAAGGAGGGACAGACCGCATTTTGGTATCCTCTTTCCGAGAATCATGGAAGCTGACGGGGTGGATGCTCTGTCTACCTCAAGGACGGACGCCCAAAACACACCATTGGAGGAATCTCGTCGGGGCCCTCTTTTCCCATGGTGAAGGGAAATCGGATTCCCCGGGTTGGGCTCTGAACCCAACATGTGTCCCAATGGGTGTGGCTTGCTTTGTTCAGACCAAAAGGCCCGCCGCCTTTTTGGGTCCCGGCCCATTTTTTATTTATTTATTTTGCAATACACCCGTGTGAGTAGCACCCAAAGCCGATTTCCAGTGGCCAATTTTGTACATGGTTCTTCTGCCCGGTCTTTCATGGTGACAGTAAGGCCAGTATGAGCCATTAATAGTTATAGTCGTACCAAATCACGTGAGCGATATGTCGCAAGTACAGCCATCTTCCATGTTGGTACAATGACCATCCAAGTGCCCATATGGCCAAATTATAACGATGATACCAGGGCGGTTTGCGACGTCCATGATAACGGTTCCTCTCATCTGGATTCCCTAGCCCAGACACATCTGCTCTTCGACTTCAAGTCTTCAAGTCCAAGGCTACATTTTCAAGAACACAAACAACAAGACCTGAGTACCCTTCCTCTCACTAACATGGCACCTGTGGGGAGGTACTTGGAGAGATCAATCCCCTCTTGGAGGGTGCACCTGTCAGGTGCCATGTTAGTGTGAGGGAGGGTATGCGTTTCCAAACAAAGGAGAAAAACCCAACCTCCGCTTATGGGCCTAGCGATTCCGCGCGCTTGGAAACGCGCGACTCAGAGATCGCGCGCAGGCCCTGGCCGCTGCCCTGGTGGTCCTTGCGCTGGCAAGCCGGCTGCAGGAGGGGCGCTGGGGCTTTCGGCATCGGAAAGTTGGCGAAATTTCCCCTTTGTTTTCCACGAGCCAGGCAATAAATATAGTTTTTGCCGAGGTCCCAATTCCAGCCAAGGAAGTGGGTGTGGCTCAAAATTAAAGAGCTAGGGTTACCCAGGTTTTTGTCTTTGGTTCCATTTACAAGGGGGCCATTTTGGTACATGTATTTGAGCCACAGCCAAAGAGGATAGGGTGATCCCAAGAATTTGTAATTTCGGTCTTCCTGTTTGGGTTCCCTTATTGGGGAGGCAATGTTTTGGACCCTGGTGCAGCAATGACCTAGGCGAGATGTATAGTGACTAATTATGGTACTGTACGGTACTGTGCTTCGCAGACGCGGCCACCAAAGTACTGGCATGGCTTCACTTCTAGCTGCTTTTCCTCGAGTTGTGCTCCCAATGATAGCACTGCGCTCCTTGCAGTACCATGTCTGAGGAGCTTGCTTGGTTCTTCTCAGCAATGTTTTCCGCCATCGCTGAGCACTGGCGTGAACATTCTGGAAGCTCTGGAGTGCATGCTCGCAACCATTGACAAAAGGATTAACCACCTGTCCTGAAAAGGGGGTTTGAACCCCCGCCTGTCCTATTTGACCAACACAAGGGTTTTGGCTGGAGGATTTCCTTGCCATCCTCTAGGATTTGTTGCTTCACGAGAAGCGACTGCACAGATGCAAAGGTTAACCAAAGAAACGGTGCTCGAGCTGTGCCATGGCTGGCAGGCTTTTTCTTCTCACCAGACATGGGGGTTGCTACAGCTCTGGGACGCCCGAAACTGTTTCTAGGTCCCCCAGTACTCCCCTTTTACCGTTTTTGGTTGGGAGGGTTCCCCTACTAAAATAGACTACAGAAAAAAGGGTACCCTTATTTTAACCTCCCTACTGGAGGACCTAGGGTTGGTTTCCAAAAGAGCAGGATCTCTTGAGGTACCGCCCGAAGATCTAGGTCGTCCAAATCCAACTTCTCTAGGGAAAGCGGCAGCACCAAGTTAGTTGAGCAAATTCCTTTTCCATTTTGTAAACTACCCTGGATGCGGGGAAGGAAAGGCTGCTTTTTGCAAGCATGTGCCCAAAAGGGTGCCTCAAACTAGGTCTCGACAATGGGTGGTTGGCCTTTGGATTTCATTGAAACAAGGATACCCTCAAGGACAGACCCAAGTGTTTGGCAAAAAAGAGCCTTTCAAAGCTCAAAGATACACCTGAAGGACAGTAGCACCGGTTCGCGCCAACTTTTTTGACCGTGAGTCGCGAACTCATTTGGGTGTGTCAAATCAGGACCCATACGTGTCCATTTTACGTGATTTTAGTTAGAAATTGATGGCGCTGGTTTACATGGGATTTATTCCATTTACCAGGGAAACCCATCTATTTTACAAAAGGACATCCATGTCAGGACCCCAAGAACATTTCGGCTTTCCTCTTGGCTTCCCTTTCAAAGAGTCCGAAAAATGGTGCAGTTGACCTGGTACAATGGGCGCAACATGTGCCTTGGGGAAGGAGGAAGCTGATAGGTTCTGATCGGTTTGCAACTCGCCCCTGATCGTTTGGCGCCCACCATGAGGTTTTGTCAAAGCAGGATATGGGACGCAACACGGGCTTCAGTTTTACTTTGGTTTCCCGTTGCAACCCCAGAAAGTGTATGAGTGTCGAGAAACTCCTCCCCTCCCGTATCATGAGTGTGTTTGAAATGTGGTGAGTCTTATTTGCGCATGCCCTCAGAATTAACAATGGACTGGCATTTCTGGGCTCCAAAGGGAAAGATGCGAATCGTGGGTTGTTTAAGCCCGGGTAATATCCCCAACAGCAACCTCCGGAACCTTTCCCAACCACTCCGGACCACTCCGAAGCTTATCCCGTAGCTTGCAGCTGTTGTGAGAGCTTCGCTGTTTCGAGAAATTGCACGCAAGCTGGGTCAGTCCGAGTAGCAAACAAACAGTTGGAAGGGGGGTGGGAACCCGAGAAACAACTTTTGCATAGAAAAAGGAAGGCTGAAGCGGCAGGCCACAGCCCAGACGGCCGCCGGCTTGAGGCACCTCTCACAGGCGTGCGGGGCCCCGGCAGAGGTTTCAGGGCCGCGGTCAAAGGATCGGTTCTGCTGGGTTGGCAGGGAACCCCAAACACTTTTATGGGTTCCACGTATTTTTCGTTTTGCATGCTGAAGTCAGTTTGTTTCTTTTTGTGCACAACTCTGGTAAGGTGGGGGCAGGGATGGTCATCGAACTCTGATTGTGGCTTGTAGACGACCCTCTAATTGTGGCTTTTAGACCAATGCAAAGGTTCCTATTAAAAGAAGAACAAAACACATGACCTTGACCCATCACAAGTTTTGACCAGCCGGCCCGCCCCACTGGATGGTTGGCAAACGCTCGGGCGGCCATGACCCTGCGGTCATGAACATGGTCATGGAAGCTGGGTCCTTGGCAAGTCGGGGCAATGAGGCAGGCTCATCAAGGTCCTTGGTTTGCGTGTGGTCCTGGGCTGCAACAGATCCAGCAGGTGGGGGCTTTGGGAGCGTTGAGCGGTGCTCAGCTTGCTGGATGAGCGGAGGGGTTGCTCATGAATAGATGCAGCCATTTGTCAGCCCCTCTGATGCGGAATCGGCCACTGACAGTGCTCCACGGTGCAATGCGCCATTCTAGAAAACGCGCCTGTAGGGCCGGCGCCCTGCATGATGGGTCGACGATTTTTCCCATAGGGGCGCTGGTCAGCAATTCTCTGCCGCAGAGGGTCAGCGTCATGCTTCAAGCGGGCAATTGGCGGCGCTGGGCCCGCTTTATGCTTTTGACTTGGCCCCAAGGTGGGGCACGTTGGCTTGCCAAATTGCAGTGCATTCACGGCTGTGTGCTGGTCAATGCGTCACCTGGTTCAGCCTTTTATGCGGCCTCGCAAGGATGCCCGTCCGCCTCTGACTCAGGATGACCTGAAAAGGAGAAAAGGAGTTTTGACCATGGCGCAAGTGGAAGGGCGGAGGCAATGGGACAACGTATGGAAAAGGGCTGGCGAACAAAGGTTGGCGAACGCAGGGATTCATTTGGGATGCTGCTGCGCCAAGAGGGGGGAGTGTCCAGCAAGCAGTGCTTGTTGCGTCGGCCCAACGAAATTAAACAGGTTGAGTCAACAACGCCAAGGAAGGCAGTGGGAGACAAGCGTAGCAGTAAACAGAAGCAACACCCAACAAGAGACAGTGCCGCAAGAAGGCAGGAATCAACAAACTGGCCATTCGGGAGGAACGTGCAATGATGAAAATCCTGTAGGTTTCTCCCAGTTTTTCCCTCGAGAAGGAGACTGCTTTGTCAAGGGGAGGTTTGTTGGGGTTCCATGTCAATTGTCAAAATACCGAGTTCCCGTCACTGGCAACGCCTTGCGTTGCCAACGGCTTTGAGTTGAACCGATCGGTTCCTTTGTTGACGCGACCCAACCGACTGGTGCCCAAAAAATGCCAGGCTGGACAGCAACGTCACTTGCGCAGAGGCGCGGCTTGCAATCGGCCACGGGGAAGCCTGTCTTTGAAAAGGCACATGGCCACACTAGGGGTTCCACTCAAGTTTATATGTTCGTTCAGAGATTGCTCTTTTTTGGGTTTCGGTAGTAAGCATGCTGGCCCTTTGGCTCATTCGGAGGTTGTTCCCGAGCCGGGCCAGACTAAATTCACACTGAATTGGCAGTTGCTGTTGCTGCTTCACGGGACGTGAACGTGTAACAACGAGAAAGGGACCCTTTCAATTTCCCCGTGAAGAGGGGGGGTGGGGTCGGAGGGCTCCGACCATCTTCCCCCGTATCCGTACTGCCAGCTACTTGTGAGTTACCATGCACTGTTTTTCATAAGGTTTTCCCCTGGTTACCTACTCGTCGTCACGCCTGCCAGGGGCACGTTCAACTGTGCTTGTTTTGCTATCGGCTGCCATGCGAGTTGCTATCGGCTTCGAGGCTTCGAGGCCCAGTTTGAACATGGGAAGCAAGTCTCCGTGTTGCGCCCTTTAAAGTCGGGCTGCACTTGAGAGGCATTACTTCTCAAAAATACCTCGTTTGGATTGCCAAGCTTAAGATGGGCCCAAGAAGCTCCCAATGGTAAAGCCCTGGGTATTGCAAGTGGTGTTTGTTTGTTTGTTTGTTTGTTTGCTTGCTTGTTTGCTTTGCTTTGCTTTGCTTTGCTTTGCTTTGCTTTTCTGTGCTGTGCTGTGCTGTGCTGTGCTGTGCTGTGCTTGCTTGCTTGCTTGCTTGCTTGCTTGCTTGCTTATTAGTTTGCTTACTTGCTGGTTTGCTCTTGCGTGCGTGTTTTGTGGTCTTGCACCCTTCATATACCCTCTGCATTTGTTTGTTCTGCAATGCTGAAGGGGTCTTGCTTGCTCTGGGACGAAACACTTTGTGGCCTTGCTTGAATGAGAGGTCAACCTGTCCACTCCATTCTGACTCTTTGCGGTACAGCGTTGTGCAGCCATGAAATAGGGGTAATGTTCTCCAAGGGTAAAGAACCTTCTGGTCAATTCATAAGGAGGTGCCCCATTTTAGAAGGGCACCAGGTTGATGAATCCAGGGCCCACATCATGTGGCTAAAGATTCTGGAGCAGCCAACAAGGGGATGACTAAAATCCTCACTAAATGGGGCGCGAAAGAGCATCAACTACCCCCTCCACCCCCCAGAATTACCAACGCAAAAAAGTCCTTGGCGCCAATCATTTGGCTGTGGGTCAAAAACCGATGGGATACCATTTTGGGGTAGGTGAATATTCACCACCTTTTTAGAACCTATTTTATTGGTTGGATTTGGATGTTCACTCGGGGTACGATTTGGATTTTGACCTATGGCCACTTTGCTCTCGACGGGCACTGGTTCAGATGGGTTTTGTTTTATCCAGGGCCATCTATTTTTCCAAAAGGCCAGCTATGGTCCTTGGTGCCAATCATTTGTTTCATGGAATGCCACCGCGTTTCTGTTCCACCCGCATGCGCTCGAAGGTGGCGTCCCTGAGCTATGGCTGCTGCCTGCTGGAGCAGGCGCAGAGCCCAGTCTGGCGGCCATTGGGCCCCTGGCTTCCCGCGTGAAAAAGGGGATGCTTCTGCCTTGTGAAGATTCATTTACAAGGTTTTTTTTGGTCCTTCTGGGGTTCGTCGAAAAGGGAAGCGACCCTTTATATTGGTTTTGTATCATATTTGGAGAGCAGCCCAAAAGCCACCGTTGTTACCGGTTGCCATTTTCTCCTCGGGGTGCACGGGTAGTGGTTGTTTCCTGCGGATGGGACGTTGGCGGCATTAACTTCCGACCATACTAATGAGACGCCAGGATGAATAAGCCACTTGTAAACTTGACAAGGGAGAATCCTTTCCTTTTTCAGGGGGACACCCCAAATTCCACCAGCTTGATTAATTCGAGGTCGATCTCTAGTTCAGCAAGACGCGCGGCATACCGCATGCAACAATCCGCATTGTGGTCCTTTGTCTCTTGAGTCTTAACGGGAACTCACCATGAGGCACAAACATCCGCACAAACATCCCCAGGTGTTATTGATGTTCACCTAAGGGTCCCCGATTGAAAATCCATCCAGTGATAGTCAGTTTCCGATTGTTGCGATTTGAGAATCTGCAGGGGATTGGCAACCTGAGGTCGCTGAGCATGCTCGGTTTTCGATCGGTTTGGTTGAAGTTTGGCACCTTTTTGGATGTGGTAAAAGGCAAACCAACAGGGAACCAACCCTTTTTTTAAGGCCCGCGAATCCAAACAGAAGAATCCATCCCCTTTATTCAAAAGGACAGGTCGCTGAGGGCTGTAGCCACTGCGAAGAAATGCTCTTGAGGGCTGGCAGGGGCCTATCTATCCATGTGAGGGTGCTGGAAGCGACTCCGGAAAGGCAGTGCGTCGCTTCTGCACCACGATCAACCCGGACTCATCAGCCCGGACTGATTCAACCAAAAGGGCGTTGGATCCAAAGTCGGCGATGCAGATTACACGAAGCACCCGACGGATCGCCAGTGCTCCAACGGGTCTGCAGCCACCCCAAAGCTGGTAAACTGGCGCTGCGTTGTCGCAGGGCTATGCTTCGCGAGCTGGGGGGGGGAGGGGGCGCACGACTGGAGAACAATGCGCCTCACAACTGGACCACAGAAATGGACCACAGAGATATGGGCGATGTTTCTCCTTTTGGTTTGCCTTGTAAGCCATCCAACAAGGGGCAGTGTCGCGCGTCAGGTGCAGGCTGGCGGTGCAAAAGCGGCAGGCTGGGGATGGGTACTGGAAGAAGAAGAAAACAGAAGAAAAGCTGGTTTGGCTGAATATGGGTGTGAGTCTTGTCCTTTAAGGCTACCAAACAAGGGGTACCCTCAAAAATGACCCACCCGTATGCTGATTTTTCATGGTTTTTCTATTCTCAATGGGGTTCTTTTCGGGGCTCTCATGATTAAGGGGTTCATATACATTTGGGCTGTCCAAACTATTATCGGCGAGAGCAAGTTTGAGGATCGCAGTTTCCTCAATTTTGAGTGAGGTGATTTTGTGAACCCAAGTGCAACCACTTTTCGGGCTCAGTTGCACCCACCAAGCAGAAGGCTCTTTGCTCGCATCAAAGGCTGAGAGGCCGGCTTGAGAGGGCCCCAAAAAAAGTTCGAGTTATGGCAAGAATCCACAGATGTGCCCAAGGAGCTATTTTTTTTTTGCTGTCGAAGCCGAGGCTTTCTCAGTTTCTACTACTACTACTACTACTACTACTACTACTACTACTACTACTACTACTACTACTACTACTACTACTACTACTACTACTACTACTACTACTACTATTGGGGGTTGTCTCTGCTAATGGTTTGAGGGGTTTGTGTAAACTCAAGAATCCGGCTGGCCATCGCCTGTTTTAGCGACTTGCCGTGGGACACAGCAGGAAGCGGCGCGCATCCCGTGGGCCCATGTGCGGCTCACAGTTTGTAGCCGGGTAGTTGCCCGAGCCGCGCCCTCCGAGGACTTTTGGGTGGAGGTCAGAAGCCTGAGCAACACCATATCATGGTTGCCTTTGGCTTGAGCTACGTTGATTTTTTGCGTGGTGACGGTTACTGTTAAGCTCGTCCCCCGTGCTTTTGGACAAGGGACGCTTGCCTAATTCAAGGTTATTAGCCATGCAGCCATCAGTGCCCAAGGTTCTGAGCAACAGTGAAACACCTGAACATGGCGCCTTTGTTCCAAAGGTTAGTTCTCAGGATTTGTTTGATTTTTGGTCGGCTGGTCGGCTGGCTGGCTGGTTGGTTGGTTATATGTTGGTTTTATGTTGGCTATATGTTGGTTGCTTGGTTGGTTGGTTGCTTGGTTGGTTGGTTGGTTGGTTGGTCGGTTGGCTGGCTGGCTGGCTGGCTGGCTGGCTGGTTGGTTGGTTGGTTGGTTGGTTCGTCGGTTGGTAGGTAGGTCCTGGTTGGTTGGTTGGTTGGTTGGTTGGTTGGTTGGTTGGTTGGTTGGTTGGTTGGTTGGTTGGTTGGTTGGTTGGTTGGTTGGTTGGTAACTTGTTGGCTATTGGAAACAGCACTGCCTAGCAACCGCGAGCAACAGTAGCGCTTCTCTGGGATACTTTTCTCTACGGCCTACAACACAGCGCACGGTGCTTTTTTAAGCGTCAGAACCTCGTGGAACCCTGGTGGAACTGCGGACCTTACCTCAGCCGGACCACCCCGGAGCCTATCTGGCAGAGACCCCAAAGTTTTCAGCTGTCAGACAAAAAATGCTGTCATAGTTGTTCGGTCATTGTCAAGCGTGCGCCAGAGATGTTAAACTTGTTGTTTGGCGCACTATTCTTCGGATTCGGCTCACCCACACGTGTTGGATTTAAATTTCTGTCATGATCCTACAGGGGCAGAAAAAAACCCGACCCGCCAGTGCAAGCAAATCTTTCCAAGACCTTTTTCACTTGTGACCAAGAGCTGTAGGCATTTTTGGAGATTCAGGCAAACTTGAATTCCAACAAGCGTCAACGCGGATGAGCGTTGTCAGAAGCCTGACGCCCACGGTAGTGACCTGCGCTGTTTCTTGAAAGATGGATTGGGGACAAGGCACCACTGCAGCAAAGAGCTCTAGCAGCATGCATAGTATTTCCCAGGTCCAGTTTGGGAGAGGACCTATGGCTTCAAGGGTCAATGAAACCATTTGGGGGACAACCCTCGATAGTGCTACTACTACTACTGCTGCTGCTGCTGCTGCTGCTGCTGCTGCTGCTGCTGCTGCTGCTGCTGCTGCTGCTGCTGCTGCTGCTGCTGCTGCTGCTCTGCTACTGCCACAACAGCTACTGCTACGGCAACTACAACAACTCAAGCGCTTATTTTTTTATCCCGCTTGGGCTCTCGTCTTTGTCCCTGCCAGGCAGCGTGGAGGGCGCGCTGGTGCAGCGAAGCTGGTGCGAAGCCCCAGAGGAATCGGACAGAGCCGTTGTCCATGAGTGAAGGTTGGAAGGTGTGGACCACATCGGTTGGTTGTGTGGTAGGTAGAATTACTTGGTGTACAGTGTAAAGCAAGCTATGGCGACTAGCCTGGATTCGAAAGTATTTGCCCTCATCATGCCTTAGCAGCGCCGAACTCCACTTATGGTCTGGGATTCCCCCAGACATCCAGTATATTCAACATCTTCTTTCTACACGGGAGAGATGTTTTTGCGAGATATTCCATGTCCTTCCTCGTGGAGGACACATGAGGGTTCTACAAAAGCCAATTCAAGGAGGGAGGGCCAGTTGTCAGCATTCCAACGTCCCGACGCCCGCGAGAGAATCCCTGCGTGGATTTCTCCCATGAGACAGACGCGTTTGCAGGAGTCGACTCATGTTGCGAACAGACACGCTCGATGGGTCCAAGGTCTTTGCAACACGAGAGGGCTCCGCTTTGTAGTGGTTTCCCAATGTGGATCAAAAGGTTTTTGAACAGCCCAATATGGCAGTGGCTCAAAACATGGACCCAAAATGGCACCCTGCAAAATGGAAACAAACCAAAACCTGCGTAACCCCCCGTGTTTGATTCTGAGCCACACCCATATGGCTAGCTATGTTCACATCTCACATCCATTTTTGCCGTGCGCAATTGGTGTGTGATTGCAAGCAGCTTGACCCCCATCATTCAGAGTAGGCGAGGAAACTTGGACGTAGGAGGCATGAACCGTTTTTCGCGATGCACATCCGTTTTTGTTTCTTAACAGCTGAAAGGTTTGGTGCCCAAAGAAGCTCAGCGGTTCGAAGCAGCTTTCGGGGACGGTTCCGAAGGTATTGGGGATACCAGCTTTTTGGCTGAAAGCTTTCGGGTTTTTGTTGGGGGAGGGGTCCTTATAGTGTCATCGGGATGTTTCTCCCTCAAAAATTGGTTGCGTCCTTTCGGCTGCCCTGCGACAAAAGGGGTTCTCATACGCGAGACAGAGACCCCAAACCTTCCTGAAGGCGGTATCCCCAACACCTTCGGAACCCTCCCTGAAAGCTGCTTCGAACCGCTGAGTTTTTTTTGGAAAGCAAGTGGGCACCAGCGGAATCCCTTCAAACTCCGCCTCGAGGCTTGCAAGTCACCTGCCTGGCTTGGCTTCAGCACTGGAGGTGCCCGGTATGCCTGTTGGGGGGTCTGGGGGGGGTGCGAGAGAAATTCACATCCGAGAGCGCCCAAAACCGATTCTCATGGGTGATTTCGGTGGGTGCTTCCACTTGCTTACTAGCTATCTTGCTTCCCGGGAAACCGCCATCTTAGCACCAAAATTGGATGGGCTTTGGGCGCTGCACATTTGGGAAGGGAACGGGACCAGTGGGTCCGTCAATCGGTCGGGGAAGCCTGCCGCCTTTTTGGGGGGTCGACCTGCCAAGCCTATGGAGTTCCACAAAGCCGAGGGCTGCCGCCCTTTTTGTTTTCTTTTTTCTTTCAAGACCCCCAGTTCCTTCCTTTTGGCTTGCCCATTTCCAGCAGGTTTGGCCATATGGGTTTGTTTTAAACCAACCCCAAGAATATCCTCAAGCCAAACATGACAGGGGCTCAGTCCTACTCACATGAGCCTGCGGGTGACATGCGGCTCAAGCTCCGATGCTGACAGCGTCTGCGAAGCAAAGACACTCGAGCGTGCGATCTCCATGATCTAACGTGACGCCCAGGTGACGCATCTCCATTGGTCCATCCACGTGAGCGGCGCTTTTCTCGGAAAAACAAAAATGGGCTTACACCGCTTTTGCAGAACGTCCGGAGCCTACCCGAACGGGAGCCACGCAAAGACATCCTTTTGCACGGCCGCCGGGACTCTGCCATGGTGCGGCCGTGCTCACACCGGCGAGGCTGGGCTTGCTTGTTGCATCAGCCGGTTGTGCTTGCGCATGTACTCGAAGGGCCAAATGACCAGAATGGGTCTGCGGGGCACTTTAGAACCAAGTCGAGTGGTGCTGTTCTCACTTTGGCGCATTTTGCTTGGATGTTAGGACTTTAACCTTCTGCCAACCAATGGGTTTTTCATTAAACCGCTAAAAGTTAGCCACTTTTAGCGGAGCAGATGTCGCCACCGAGCAAAGGAGAACGTGCGCTCGCAACTTTTTGGCCCCGCAAGAAGGCGAGAGGCAAAGAGCCCGGCGCCACCTGCCGAACCGCGGAAGTGGCTGGCTTTGTGATGCGTTTGGGTTGCTTTTTCAACCAGGGCTCCTTAAAAGATACATGTGATGCCCATTTGAAACATGTTCTTTCCACCAAAATAAAGGGAAACCACGATTTACAAGGCAATGTTCAGGTGTATAATGTAAAGATCCCTGTCAAAGCACTGTGCCAGTTCCCTGTGCTTTCTAGTTGTTTTAGCCACTTTTTGATTATTTACACCCAGCATCGATGCCATTCACAACTTGGGACACACACATACAGCCCATGGCTCACTTGGAGCATGGTAGCGCTTGTCATGTCGTGGAAAAGGACATCTATTGACGTTGGTGAAGTAGTCAATGGGATGGCATCGCAGAAAGCGTCATTTCCCACAACCATGTTCTATGCGGTGTTGGTAGTCGAGTGTGGCAGCCGCTTGAAAGCCTGTCATTCTTATAAACTGCGTTTGCCCATTGAATCAAAGTGGCTTGTGAACCTCTTAATGAACATTCATTTGGACCGACGACGGGATTTTCCACCTTCGGCATTTCAGACATGCCGAATGCCCTGGGGAAAACTCCAATAACATACTATGGACCCTCTGGACCCTCTGCATATTGTGGGATACATCGGAGGGTCCAATTTCATGGAACTCCAGCAAGGGCTTTTCGGGTTTCATCTTCTCTGCATAGGGAGGGCTTTAGAGGGGATCCATCGGTCCCATACACATGGCACATTGATCTATCAGTCAGTCAGCATCGATATGTTTTTGACTTGGGTACTCCTCGGTGGACGACATGCTCATAGGGACTTAGCTTAAGCCAGGTTTGTAATAATTGCAACCATGCAACTTCATAGCGGCGTGCGCCATGGTGAGAAAGCCAGGCTTCTTGGGTTGGGAGTTTAGACAACCGCCACAAGCATGTCCTAAAGGAAGCATGACCATGACCCACATTGTGCGTCTTTGACCACAACGATTCGAGGCCGTCATGGCCGCGGTCTGCTGCTCCTTCTCCTTTCCTGGACCATTCTGAATGCCAGGGGGCCCGGAATCGAGCGAGAAGGGGGCCAATCGCTCAGTTGATTCCGATCCTATTTTCCACTTTTCTGGTGGGTTCACCACGGAATGAGCAACCTGACAGGGCAATGGCCCGGGGGGAGGGGAGATGGGAAGAAGGTGCTCAACGTGTTGAAAGAGCTTTTCAAGGAAGGGACATTGGAAGGAGGTTGGGAAGGACCACAGTCTAAGGGCGGCAAGAAACAGATTTGTCCATTTCCAGCTATGAGCACACCCATTTGGCTGATTCGGGGTCATGTTCCTTTGCTGCTTCCAACGATTGTTGGGAGTGCGGGACGTGATCTGGCTGGTGGTTGGAAGGAAGCTAAGGAGTAGTGGGTATCCAAATTCGCCTGTTCAGGGGCAGCCTTGCGGAGCTACCGATCGGAGTTCTGTAAAGTAGTGATAGACTTCCAAGATGCGCCCCTCGTTTGAGAAACATGGTCCCTTTAGGCGTCCTAATGTCCAGGCCAAAACCCCCAAGACCTGAAATCAGAGGAGAGTCAAACCGGGGGGCTGTTTGGTGTGGGTGTTGGTGGGTTTTGAAGGGTGAAGAGAATGCTAGGAAAACACCTAGACTCCTGTTTGCCTTGATGAATAACCTGCCAAGGTCAGCAAGGAGCTGAGAAACCTGACTTTCGGCCACAGAAAGGAACAGGCTTCAATCTCGGGGGTGAATGCCGGGGACAGTTGCCGGCCGTCCACGTGAAGTTCGGTTCAAATTCAGGTTTTGACTCGACTCAATTGTGTTTCTCTGAGGGTACCCTGTTAAAGTGGTTTTTGGGAAACCCCGTTTGGTTGGCTTTAAGCAAAAGGAGAACCCGAAACCGAACTCCATTCACGAAAGCTAGCTGTGCCTTTTTGGGGCTCTAGGCTTTCGGGGCTCAACTTCCCATGCCTGATTCAATCAGGGTTTGGGGGGGGCGGTCTCAACAATGCGAGGGATCGCAATACCAGATCTTAACCTAACTTCCCTCCCCCCCCGTATGGACATCAAGGGTCTATGTTGCAACCTTCTTCATTTGGGTCGTTGGGTTTCGGGTTCTTGGCTCTAAGGTTTGTTGTATTACACCCTGGGAATACACCCTCTGGGTATTGACCCCATTTAGGCACATTTGCGGATAACACCGTGTTGTTTTGAGCCATTCTGGGTCAATACCCAGTGGGTGTAATCCCAGGGAATACAACCCTCAGATTGGCCGCAACATAGCCTTCAGGTCTCCATCGCACCCCCTCCCTGACATCTCTCAGGGCTTGGTCTTCGTGGCGCCGCCACGTGCGCCTGCGCGGGCGTCGGCTAGGGGTCTGGTGACCCTCCAGGCCCGAAGTGTTTTTTTCCTTCTCCTTTTCTTTGTTCTTCCCGTCTTTCTTGGGTACTTTTTTTTTTTGGCGAGGGCGCCTTTTCTTGGATGGCTTCAAAGGGAAACCAAAAGAAAGCCGCCTTCTTTTTTTTGTTTTTTTTTGGGGGGGTCCGATTCGTAACTTGAGGCAAACCCATATGGGAGCCTTTGGTGGACATGAGTTTGGTTAGGATTTATGTCCACCAACCGTTTGGGAGGGCATTCTCACTGTAAAAACCATGGCCATATGTCATTTTTGTTTCCCTTTGTCATTGTTGTTTTGTTGGCGGGCTTTACAACTGCCAAGTATGTCGGATGTTTTTTGAGACACACCCACCAACCATGGATCTTTATGGCCATTGGGTGGGGGGGGGGGGGTCATGTTTCGGGAAATGTTGGGAACCCATGTGGAAACCCAAAGGAATGGCGCATGTCACGCTGCGGAACTCTTTCTAATGTTGCGCAGGGCCCAACCAAGGAGTCAACATGTTTTTGCGAAGCCGGATCTGTGACAGTATTGGAGGCTCGGCGCCCGTTTTGGGGTTAGTTTAAGGGACAACCAAAAGGACAAGAAATGCCATTTTGGGGGTCGACCCTTAGAAACACACCATGAGGTTGGGCCAATTTTGAATGTGGTGCATTTGAAAGGGACATGCAGGAACTCACTTTTTTCATAATTACTTTTCTTTTGATTGCTGCTTCTTATTATTTCTCATCGTGTCCTGTTGTTTCTTTTTCTTCTTTGTTCTTCTTCCTTTTCTTGTTCTGTTTCTTCTTCCCTTCTTGTTTCTCTTATTTATTCTCTTCTGCATGTTCTCGTCCTCTTTGCATTATTTTGCACTTGTTTGCTTCTTCTTTCTCTCCTCGCCCTTCTTCTACTTCTTCGTATTCCTGCATGTGTTCCTCTTCCTTGTTTCTTCTCTCTTGCATCGTTTTCCAGGTTTTCTTGTTTCCTGTCTGCCTCCTGTTCCTGGTGGGAGTCCATATGATTGTTTTCCAGGGTTCTGGTAGACAGGGGGAGTCAAATCCAGGTTTGTGGAGGGTCATTTGAATACGAGCTGTTTTGTGACTTGATGCAATGTGCCATGCACTTTTCAGACGTCAGTTTGGGTGGGCATAGATTCCAGCATAGATGGGTTTTACTGGTTTCAGTTTGGTTCTAGTCATTTGTCAGCGCCACGTGTTTTTCCAAGGACATGGGGTAATGCGTGTTGTCCGCGTTAGGGGAAACAAGACATGTACACTTGGCATTTTAGCGCAATTGGTTTAGCCCTCGACATGCCCATGTTTGTGGAATTCTCGAGGATCCGAGTAGCAGGGTAAGCGGAGGGGTGGATCCTTCAAAGGGCAACGTCCAAAACAGGATCCGTCTTTCCAGAAGGCCAACAAATCCTAGGGGAAAAGGGTGGACTCCCCAACATCCCTAAGAGAATCAATCCTTTTAGCCCCCAATTTTACGATCTTTTTGCCCAACCTCGGCATTGGCACTCATGGGGAGCTGGGGGGGACGGAGGGGGGAAAAGAAAGAGCCCCAATAAGGCCCAAATAAGGCCTTAGGCGCAAGGGCTTATGTGGGCTCCCTCCCCCTCCCCAGACGTCCTCCAGGCCGATGCGGAGCCCGAGCCGGACGAGAAGAGGTCATGGCCGGCACGGTACTTCCTGGCGGCGAAGGCGCGCTTGCTGCGGGGTGCAGCACCACTTCAACCCCTTGGAGGGGTTAGACCCCGGGTGTGACTCTTCTTTTCGAGGGGACTCGATTTTTTTGGGGTGGTTTGAAAGGAAACTGCAGGAGAACCAAAATCCATGTTTTTGTTGGGGGCTCTCGTATTTTTCCACTTGACCCAGAGGTTCTTAAGATTAGTGCTTGGAGGGAGGCTTAGGTTCTCTGACTTGGTGAGAAGGGCAACGCGGGTTTGCATATTCAGGGGTCAACCAACTTTTGGGTACCGGCCCTTTCCCTTGAACAATTTGGGTTGGGTAACTTGAGGATGCTTGAATGGACCTATTGACCTAGAGCTACAATCAAAACTTGGGTAAGTGAAGGTTGAGGAATTGAGGAACCGTCCCAACTATGAATCGGGACGGATAGTCGCCTCATCAGGTTCTTGACATGGGTTTGCGCAAGCTCCTTCAGCACCAGGTCTTGATGATGGCTCATTTGTGCAAAAAGATGATCGCGTGGTCGATGCGGTATTTTGGGGGCCAACCCACCTTCTTTGACGTTTGAAGTGGAATTGCTCTCTTGCAGATTCGCCGGTATCTCTCTTTTTAAACATTCTAGGCTTTGCTAGGCTTTGCTAGGCTTTGCTAGGCTTAGCATATGGATCAGGATCAGGCGTATGTTTGGTTGGGTGGCAAAAGCTGAGGTGTTGGGCGCTGAGGAACTTGAAGAGAGGCCAAAAAGAGTCCAGGCATGCTGCGGTCGGCTCAGTTTGGACAAGCGTCTTCCTTTTGGTTTCCTGTACACGAACCTTTTGGTTTCCTTTTGGTTTGTCTTCCTTTTGGTTTCCCGAAAAAGGCGATGGAGCCGCAGGGCCACCCCTTCCGCTCGCAGGATGCCATTCAGACGGCGCTGTTCGGATCTCCCGAGTCTCCCGAGACGGCGACCGCGCCGCACAACCCGTTGGAAGGGGTGACCGCCCGGAGCCCCGGCAAATTCGCCGGGAATCGTTCCAGAGTCCCCCTACAATCACGAGTGGTTTCCGAGTACACAAGCCCGTTCGAATTATTTGGGCCTTATAATCACCCTGGCCACTTTTCTAATAAAGGGTGACTAGTAGCAAGTGGGTTGAAACCACTTCTTTCAGAGCTACAAGACTCGCCAAGCAGCGCCTCACTTGCTTGAGAGGGAGAGGTCAAGGCTCTGCTAGCCCTCGCGAAGCAAAACTCTTCTGGTGAAAATCATTTTGGAGCTGAACCGTTTTGAGGAACCGCCAGTTTCGGCCGACCAAGTGAACTGCCCAGGATGACTCCGGCAAAATGGCAAAACCTCGGGGCCATGTCGGGGTCAACTCAAAGTGGAAAGGACTTTGGAAAACCTGGCCCAAGGGTGAGCAACTGAGCACACCGAGTACAGTAAGCCATTTTTCCCCATCTACCAAGTCGCACGGGACTTGCACCAAAAATGAACGACACCACTATTCCCTTTCCGCAAGTAAAATGCAACACATCTGCATGAGGGGTTGTGCCATCCACTTTCGACTGGGGTTATCCAAGCCGAGGCGCTAACCCGCCAAAAAAGAAGCAACAGCGCCCCGGGGACCCCAAGGTTTCCAGCGAGCCTGGCGGCCTGGCGTGCTCCTTCCGACGCTTGAGTTTTTTTTCAGCCCAAAAAGCAACACACGTAGATGTTCCGAGCATAGAGGCTGGACCACTTGCCCCCACCCCCCCCGGTTTTTGTCACGCCAGTTGCTCGACCCAAAAAGCCGCGGTTTCCGGCGAGGGGGTGATCTTGAACGCCACCTCCACGGCCGTGAGTGGTGCAACCTCCGGAGTCAAGGCGAGTGAAGCCAGAGCCGAACTTCGGCGCGGGCCGCTGGGGTGTTTTTTTGGGGTCATGTTTTTTTTTTTGGGGGGGGGGAATTGTTTAGTCTTTGGGGGACATTTTGTTTTGGCTCTTGTTGGGGCCATTTTTGTTGTTGCTTTTTGTGAGCCATTGTGAAATTCGGAGCGATTGTTGACCCGAACCCGCCAACGAATCAGCGGGTTCCCCATGGGGTCTGGTCTGTTTGAGGGGAGTTTGATGAGTATTCTGAAGATGGCGTGCCTTGGACGTGCCCCAACCATCAATGTCCTTGCAGCTGGGAGGCGCTTGAGCTAAAAGCCGCGGTCCCTTGAGGAAAATAAGAAGAGCCACATGGTTATTTCCCCCGTTAGCGTCGCATAATCAGGCCCATTTGAGAGGAACATTGTCTCTCTGCAAGTTTCCTGGGTTGTTACAGCAGAATCCGTCCTGACATCAGGGTGAAAGTAGATGGCACTATTGTCGTTGCGCGGATAGGTAAAAGGGATGACTAAACCCAAATGTCTTGGCATTATGCTGCCTACTGAACTGTAATTCTTATGCTGGATGGTAGTGCCATCTTCCCACAGATGACGTATTAGGACCATCTAGTGCTTCAAGGGGTTGGGCAGTTCCCACAGTCTGGTATTCGGCGATTCGAAGCATCGCCTTTCAAGTTTCAACCTTTGGGGATGTTTCAAGGGGAATGTAAGGAGCAAAAGGCGGCCTTACTTTGCCCTCAAAAGAAAGAGCAGCTGGGAGACACCTTTTTTTCCTTCTCCGGACTTGGGGTCTCTGAAGTCTGACCCCGGACTTGGGGGATACACTGTCACACATTGTTTTTTCATGCTCCGGAGCATGAAGGCAACCCGCTAGGGACCTCCGCACACCGGAGCCTCAAAGGATCGGCGCGGACGCGATCGCTAGGCGGTGGAAGCGGCCGCAGGCTCTTGTGGAAGCTGGTGCGGCTCTAGGTTGCAGGCGGATGGTGGGAAAGGGCCTTGTGGCTTAACTGCTGTTGGGTTGGATCTTTAGACTTTAACTTTTTGGTTGAAATCAAGTTGGGTTTTCCACTACCCCCCCCCCCCCCCCAAAAGCTAAACTTGTTGCAGGGGGGGGTCAACAGCAACCAAGGTGGTTCTCCGTTTTCGGTAGGTAGCTCTTGTCCTTTGGTTTCTGTGTTTCTTTGAGTTGGTCTTTGCGTCCCGTTTTTGTTTTGTTTTGGTTTTGGAAAAACTTATTCGGTTTTTAGCTGGTTTGGTGTGATCCTTGTGGGGAAGGGGGCGTTTTGTTCAGGTGGGTTTGCAATTTTGGTTGTTGCTGGAAGTAAATGGATGGATTCCATCTGTTTCAGTTTGATTCGCATTGGTGAGAGCACCGGTGATACTGTCACAAGTCTCCCTTTACTTGGGGTTGGCAGGGACGGCCATCAGCTTATGAGTTTGAGAGCAATGAGGTTCGTAGGGAATGACCACGATCGTGATAAGTTGTGACCGTGGAACTTGGCAGGAGCTAGGATCAGCGCTCCACCTCACCTCGGAGTCTGGAGGACTTGGGCAGAAGGGATGGGGGGGGGGGGTGGGACGATTCCATGGAAGCTCACAGGCAATTCCTGGGATTCCTTTGATGAGTTTCCTTTTTGACTGGAATTATTTCGATTTTTCCAAGGGCCAGGGTGCAGATTCGGGCCCCTTTTGTTTCCCAAACCGAAACTGCGCTTTCGGCCGGTTTTGCCATCCGAATGATCTCTGCAATCCATTGTGCTTGGCAGAGGTGGAGTCCCAGACAGAGTTTCCGCTGAAAGGTTTTTGGTCCGCGAGGTTATCAGGTACCTCTACAACAGTTTCAAAGATCCCTTCGAAAATTGGTATGTCTGAACTTTGGGCTTTGGACAGTTCCACTCTCCATGGTTCAGATGGGCACGGCTCCAAAAACCTCAGATTTGTTTCGAGAAATTGTAGCGGCCTCATCAGTTTCTGGGAACGGCCCAAAGATTTTGTGAGGCACGGGCATTCTCGTGTCAGAACACTTGGGATTGGTCGCAAGCTTTAGAACCTGTTAAAATTGTAAACTTTTTGTCGTAAAGGTAAAACAACTAATATTCCTTTCAATAGAGATCATTCTCTCACTAAAAGGGGAGCCACCCCTTAGTAATTCGAGGTTGACGTTGCCCTCTTTCTCTTCATTCTTTTCAAGCTGAGCGCTTTCTTTCTTCAGGTTGCTCAATTAAGACTTGGGAAGAATCCGAGGGAAACGGGGGGTGTCGTGTTTTGGGGGGAGCGGCCCTGTTTGGGAGTGGCATTTTGGGTGAAGTTTTTTGTATGCTCCCCTGCAAATGAATCTTAAAATGGGCTCTCCCTAAGAAAAGCTATTTTGCTACAAATGAGGAATTTTTGGGGCTTCATGTTAATCTGCAAAGTGTGTTGCTTCTGAACCCTGGAAGTGGTGTATGGATGGCCCGTCACGCTACTTTGAGGGCCTCAAGTATTAGAACGGGGGGGGGGGTGCGATCAAGCCAAATTACGCCGTGTGGTCAAACCAAATTACTCCATGATCATACGACTAATTTTAGTGAGCGGACAAGAATGCGGGTATGGATCAAAATTCAACTGCTAGGGGACCGCAGGTTTTAGTAGCGAGAATGGCAGATCGCGAGGCTCTGGTTCCTGAAGATATCACGAATGTTTTCCTGAAAGAAGCGCGCACAAAACTATCAGAAAAGAGTTGATCTCCGCTGAGTTCCAGAGATCTAGCACTGAAGCCAAGCCTTGGTTCCATCTACGAGGGTTCCATTTTTGAACTGCCATGTTTTAGTCCTTCCATTTACCAGGGCAAGCCCATTTTTTGGGGGTACCTATTGTTGGCCGTGGGGCCCATGTGTGGTTTCATGAATTATGCGTCCTGGAGGCTCTGCAGAAGTTGCAGCGGCGGATGCGAGCGAGGCAGGGCCTGCAGAGTTGGGGGCGGCTGGCGGAGGCTTGGTGCCCTCGTAGCAAAACCATACATCACATACATAATATATAAATAAATAAATAAATATATATATATACATATACACATAATTAACACGAACAATTATACATACATATATATATATATTGCAAATCAGCCATTTGACAAAAACACATTTTGAAACAAAGTGGACAACCACAACCAGTCGAGCCGAGGAACTAAGTCTATTCTTGTTTGGCCGCCTCGGGCGCGAGCGCGTCAGAAATCGATTCCTCGGATAAAAATAAAAGCTCCTCACATGGCAGAAGGACTCTTGCGGGGGACGGTTTAGGAACATGGAACTAACGTGACGCCAACCTTTGGGAGGGGTCCCAGATTTTGACACAGCATTTTGTGTTTTTTGGAGGAGTCAGAGTACTTCCAGCTTTGAAGTAGGCGATGCTGAGATGCATGTTTTACAGTAAGGAAGAAAGAGTCAGCAAGTTGCAAGAGGGTTGCCAAGAACATTGCAGCTTGCCCTGCCAGATGTGCCTAGCATGGGAATCCTAGCTCGCAGGTACATGTGAATCCAAATTGCAGCCCTCGCGACCAGACGTCGTTGGTGACTGGGGCATGGACCTGGCCCTTCCGCTTGCTTGAGAACAAATCTAATCTTGTTCTGATGGTTTCAATGCAAACGGTCATGACTGGCAAGAAACATCCAAAAAACACGAACGGAAGAAACCCCATGTGTGTAAGCTTGCACAGCCGGGCGGACAGGTGGGCGGGTGGGCGTGCAGGCGTGGGTGCTTGGGTGTGTGTGTGTGTGTGTGCGTTCGTGTTAGTGCTCGTGTTTGTGTTTGTGTGCGTTCCTGTTTGTGTTCATGTTTGTGCTTGTGTTCGTGTTCGTGTTCGTGTACGTGTTCGTGTTCGTATTCGTGTTCGTGTTCGCGTTCGCGTTCGTGTTCGTGTTTGTGTTTGTATTCCTGTTTGTGTTTGTGTTTGTGTTCGTGTTGGTGTTCGTGTTCGTGTTCATGTTTGTGCTTGTGTTTGTGTTCTTTTTCGTTTTCGTATTCGTGTTCGCGTTCGCGTTCGTGTTCGCGTTCGTGTTCGTGTTCGTGTTCGTGTTTCGTATTCGTGTTCGTGTTCGTGTTTGTATTCGTGTTCGTGTTCGTATTCGTGTTCGTATTCGTGTTCGTGTTCGTGTTCGTGTTCCTGTTCGTGTTTCGGATTCGTGTTCGTGTTCGTGTTCGTATTTGTGTTCGTATTCGCGTTCGTTTTCGTGTTCGCGTTCGCGTTCGTGCTGGTGTTCGTGTTCGTGTTCGTGCTCCTGCTTTTGTTTGTGCTCGTATTCGTGTTCGTATTCGTGTTCGTATTCGTATTCGTGTTCGCGTTCGCGTTCGCGTTCGTGTTCGTGTTCGCGTTCGCGTTCGTGTTCCTGTTCGTGTTTGTGCTATTCGTGTTCCTGTTTCGTATTCGTGTTCGTGTTCGTGTTCGTACATGTGGTCTTATTCGTGTTTTTCGCGTTCGTGTTCGCGTTCGTGTTCCTGTTCCTGTTCGTGTTCCTGTTCGTGTTTTGTGTTCGTGTTCGTATTCGCGTTGGTGTTCGTGTTCGCGCTCGCGTTTGCGTTCGTGTTCGTGCTCGTGCTTGTGTTCGTGTTTATCGTGTTTGTGTTCGTGTTGGGGTTTGTGTTCGTGTTCGTGTTTGTGTTAGTGTTAGGGTAAGGATTAGTGTTTGTGTTCGCGTTAGTGTCAGTATTCGTGTTCGTGTTGGTGTTAGTGTGTGTTGTTTTTTGGGGCACCCCATTTTTGGCCGTATGAGTACTTGGAAAGGCCATGTAGCAACTGGCAATGGACTTTGTTCATTCCCAGTTCGCAGTACGGTCCGCTTCTCGCGGGCTCGCTTTCCAGGCGCCTGAAGCCCCCGCTGGCGGGGGGTTGTTCCAGGAAGCGCCGGACTCCGGCGCTGCTCGGCTGGGCCAAACGGTGATCGGAAGACCCCACAGTAGTGGGGCAGAAGCAGAGGCCCATTTTAAGGACCTTTTTTCTATTGGACGAAAAGGACACCTCAATTGCGGGGAGGATAAAATACGAATGCTTCTTGGAGCAAGGGCAAGCGGCAACCACGGGAGTCCTTGGGCCCTCTACTTATGGTTCGGCCATGGCTTCGCCTGTCGCTTTGAGTCAGCTTGGTTGCATCGGACACTGTGGGTTTCCGATGCGCAGAGGCCGTTAGGCCGTTGAGGAACCAACTTTTAATTGAGGTGGGAGTTAAAACGAGCGAAAGTCCTTTACTGAGGGTTTTGTTGCCAGTTGGGGAATTGCAGTGAACTTGGCAGATGCTTTCCGGCTGTATTCATCGCCTTCCACTTGTAAAGACGGCCGGGCGCAAAGGGAAGCTGGCTTTTGCGGAAGCTGGGCGCTGCAAGTGCTGCAAGTGCTGCAAGTGCTGCCAGTGCTGCAAGTGTACGCCATTTATTTATTTATTTATTTATTTATTTATTTATTTACTTTTATTAACATGTTTTAGTTTTATTATTATTTTTTGGGGGAGCGATGCATGCGGCGCCGAAGGCTCAACGCACAGCACCCAGTTGCAACCAGTGGGCTGCTTGCCTTTTTTCCGACCTTTTTTATTTGGGGGTTTTGGGTTCCGGTCCCTTTAAACCCCAAACCCTTCCCACAAAAGGATGCCGATCCTTTTTTTCCCATGGGAATCCACTGGGCAGCTGAGCCATTACCCCATTGAAAGGTCACTGGGCAATGGCGCATTGGCTTTGTCGGGTAGCGCGAGTTGGCGGAAAATAAGGGTGTGTCTTGTTTTGGAGTTGGTACCCCTTTCTGGTTGGTTCTAAAAGGGAAGCCAGCAGGACAACCATGATTTTGGGGAGTTCAACCTTTAAAAAGGACATCCCCCCATATTGAGACGTATTGATCGTGTTTGATCCAATTGGTGCGAAGTGGATTTTGCCCAGTATTGTTTGAGGATTCAACTTAAATCAACGGGAATTTCGAGGTCGGGTTCTGCGATTTTTGTACCCCCAAAAAGAATTTCCTCTCAGGATTTTGTGTCTCTTCCACGTAGGTCTCACATCCCTCCTGCGCCGGGAGGTGCTCAGGTTGACCCGAGCTTGGGTAGGCAAACCGTGCTTGCCACAGTGAAGCTGGCTTCTCCTTGCAAGTGCGATAGGCACGTGGTTGACCTTGCGGGGTTTGGGAATGAGCTGGAAGGGGTTTGTCTCCCCCGCTCCCGATTTTTGTTTTGGGTCCTCAAACCGCCAGGTGGAGGGTCTGGGTCTTCCATTGGAAGCCCCAGGAGCGTCTGGGTCAAAAGGAAGACACATTGGGATGGTTTTTATCTGGTCTTCCGTTTCTCAAGTCTCCTTGGTACGGCTGGATTGCTTCTCGTTTGAGGCTCAGCCCGGCGACTTCTTCCTTTTTATCAAGGAGGGCTTGGGGAGGGGGGAGGAACTTCCGCCAGAGGCAAAGGACCCTTTTTGTTTCTGCCATGAGAGGTGCAGGGTGGTTCTTTTTTTCTTTAGAACCGCAGAGGTTCTGCACATTGCAGGCGCTTGATTTTCCCCAAAGGACATGAAGAAGCAAAGTGCTTCACTTCGGCGCCCTGGCATCTCTAGGCCTCAAGCCTCATGTCGCTTCACCTTCTGTACCGGAGGTACGTGGCAAGAGGGTTTTTCTGCCTGGTTGCTTATGGCGCGAGGTCATTCACATGGGGCCAATCATTTCGAGGGGCCCCCCATTAAACTTCATAGACGTGTTTTCTACTATGTTCAGGATTCCGAGCCTTAAACATATGACCAAGCCTCCGAGGAAGATCAAGGCGGATCTCGGGGTACATTGGGACACGCCTCCCCTTCAAAAAAGACTGGAACTCCCCCCCGTGGCCTGTTGGATGTGAAGCAATTTCCTGGGTCTCCAACAATTATTCAACATTCTAGGGCAGACTGAATATTGCAGACTGACACAGAACACATGTGTTGCAGTGTACCGTGGGCCAAGTTTTTCTCCGGGTGAAAACCACTTTGGCCTGAAGATCAGGAAGGAGCCAGGGCCACTCTGAGAGGGCTTTTGCGCTAGGTCTTTTCAGAGACCAAGGATCGAGATGGATTTTGGGCCTGTTTTATTGCGAGTTCGCTGATTCCCGGAGAAAAAACAACTCCTTCTGGTCCTCTACTTGTGCAAAAAAAACCTTCTCACGGCCAAGGAGAGAGGGTCACGGCCTCGCGAGCGCACGTGGTTTTCGGCTCGCAGGCGCACGTAAATTTGGTCTCGCCCGCGCATGTCAAGGGCTGGATTTCGTGGTAGGTGCGGTACTTTGGGCAAGTTACGGCAAGCTTTTCGTGGGTCTCGCCGACGCATGTGATACCGCGCATGTCCCCCAAAAAGGCAAAGCGCGTGAGCCTCGCACGCGCATGTAAGCAAAACCAATCCCCCCCCCACCCCCCCCCCCCCCCGCATGCGTGGATGCAGTGCTGGGCGGGTGCGCTTGAGCAGGTGCGCTTCCTCTTTCGCGTGCGTGGATGCAGTGCCGAGCGGGTGCGCTGTGCGGGTGTGCTTACCATCCCCCCCCCCACCCCCCCACCCCCCCCCCCGGGGCCCCCGCACCCGCATGCGTGGATGCAGGTGCGCTTCCTCTTTCGCGTGCGTGGATGCAGTGCCGCGGGCATTTGACGTGTGCTTTCCATCCCCCCCCCACCCTTACCATCCCCCCCCCTCGTGGCAGGCGCACTATTTTGAGTGACTTGGAGCGCTCACGTGCTCCTGTGAGACCCAAGCCGCTGCGTGCTCCGACGCTTGAAAAGCTGCGCCCGCGCGCTAAGTTGGCACGCGCATGCTTGTGAAGCGACCTGCGTGAGTGCAGTTGAAGCCAGGTCCCGCGCGGGTTTTGCAGCTGGATTTCGTAGCAGGCACGCTGTTTTGAGTGGTTTGGAGCGCTCACGTGCTCCTGTGAGACCCGAGCCGCTGCGTGCTCCGACGCTTGAAAAGCTGCGCCCGCGCGCTAAATTAGCACGCGCACGCTTCTGAAGCAGCCTGCGAGAGTGCAGATGTGGGGCTGGATTTCGTGGCAGGCGCAGTACTTTGAGCGACCACATGCTCCTGTGAGACCAGAAACGGCTGGAGTGTCCACGTGTGCCGTGCTCCTGTGAGGCCCCCACCGGAGAGAGGGTTTGTGGATTCGCAGGACTACAGCTGGAGCCTCCGCTACCGCGTGAGGAATCAGTCGGACTCTGTAGACATCGAGAGGCCGGGGCAGCCAGTCGACGCCGAAACGATGGGAAGGCCAGCTGAACAGAAGGAATTCCAAAGTTAGGGGGTTCATGTCCTAAATTTAAGGAGGTTCCTCCAGAAGAACGGTAGATTGTTGCGGTTGCATGCGCATCTGCAGGGAGTGAGTCGCAATTTTGTCCGACCTTTGGAAGGGTGGTTGATCTCTAAACACCGTGATTCGGGTGTGGGAATGGGTCCTGCAAAATGCTAAGCCCGACTGCCTTTAAGGGACGTTCAACGTTGGACTCAGCCCTTGGGGAAAAACGCCGACCTCTACCTTCCACACAGCATTTTGGAAAAGAAACAACCCCAACTTTTGGCCCCACACACACACACACACGCGCGCATGTGCGCGTGGTCTTGTTTTGACCTTGATTATGAACAGATTGTCCAAAATGCCGATGGTCTCCCGAGAAAATCCATGGTCCCCCAGCGTTTTTTTCCCCTCGGCGCGCGGTGAGCGGTGAGAGTCCCTGAGAGTCGAGGCCCCTGCTTCTCGACTGGATCAAGTTGCGGCAGCCGGTGCGAGACCCCAATGACGTGCTGGAGGCGAGGCGTTCGAAACGGGGTCTGGCGCTTGGAGAGCTCGGCGCGACGGGGTCGAAACAACTTGGGGTTCTCATAGAACCATTCTGGGGGGGGGCGGTAGGCCATCCGCACAGGAAGGCTTGACACGAAGCCTTCGATCTTTCTTCGAAAGGCTGCCTTCCAAGAGCCTGTCCTGGGCAGAGGGGGCCTTTGGTTTGTTCGGCGATTGGGAACCCATTTGATGGAGGCCTGGTTTCAAGACGACGGCGGGCTCTTGCGAAGGCAAGAACCGTGGAACATGGTGGCTCCGAGCCTCAAAACAATGGGAGAAAAAAAAGCACGGGCAGAATTCAACCAACTTTCTGGCCCAAAAGGGGCCTCGAGAATGATCAAAGAGCTCCCTCGCAACACCTGTACCAGCCTGGACGTCAGACTCCCACAGTTCTGGCCGGATTGGTGGCTGCTTTGTTTGGCTCTATCTATTCACCCTTTGAATTGCATAAACAAGTCAAACATTGCTGCAAAGGTGCGAATGCTCCCCAAAAGGCAAGGTAATATGTGGAACCATGCCAGCCCGGGCTCCCCTTCGCTTTTGTTTGAACACCATGTCTGCCCCGCAAAAGAGTCCGGACTGGATTTGACAAATGCCCAGGAAACGTTTGGGCTTCTCATGTGGCGGGTGGGAGCCGGCTGGATGAAGATTGGGGGCACAGGCGTGAATACCCTTCCGCCCACAACATAGCAATTGCGAGTATTTGAACTTTGGGGTGCATTTTGGTTGGATGCTAGGACTTTGACTTTTTGTAAACTAATGGGTTTTCCATTAAACCACTAAAAGCTAAACTTTTAGCGGGGAGCAGATTTCGCAACCGATTGAATTCGGGCCGACTCCTGAAAATCCCGGTGACTGAGATGTGCCTTCCCGGCCGTGGAACCTCTAAGTTTGTCGGCTAGAAGTTCAGAAGCATCAACAAGTCCCGACGCTTTGGACTTTGGCAGGTGAACTTGTCCAACGGGACATCGCCGGTATTTCGGACCCCCCGTTTTGGTCCCAAATTCCTTCGCTTCACACATGTTGAAGCGAGAAGGTTGGTGGTACTTGGGGCGGGATTGGGACAAGGACTCAACCCTTTGGACGACTTTGAAGTACCTCAGGAGGAAAACAAGGACCGCGGCAAGAGGAATTTCTATGCCTTGGAAATGGAGCCGAATCATTCGGGGGACAGTTGCAAAACCTGCTCGTGTGAGTTTTATGTGATCCCTTTTGGTTGACGTGAATTTTATGTGATCCCTGTTTGGTTGCTTTGATGTTGACCAGATCTCAGGAGAAAGTTGATTAGGCGTCCTTTGACCGGGTCGATCGCGGTCTGCGCAGATTCCGAGCTCCGATCTCTTTGATTGGGACGTGGTGGAACCGCCCAGACACAAAGGCTTCATGTATCAGGCGGGCCTCTCCCGGTGCATTTGGGGTGCGGCTTGGGCAAATGAGCTACGCCCCCTTGGAAGGGAAACAAAGTGAGGTCGTTTAAACAATGGTGCTTGAAGTGGGGAACCCCTTTTGTCCCGAAACTGCCACCCAAATCTCGCAGGTCAACGGTCAACCGCTTGCCCCCAGTCGGTCCCAATGCATACACCTGTTGCCTCAGAACCGTCGGTGTGCCGCCTAAAACGGAGCAGCGCTCCGTGGTCTTGAGACGTTTTATGCCGAAGAGACTTCATTTCTTGGGACCCCTATGAAGGTGCAGTTTCAACCAGCCCTGGGTTTATAAAGGGTCTGGCTGTTGCGTAGGCAAAGAATGGACCCCTGCACAGTGGAGCGGGATTGGTGCTCCCACTGTCCAGCACCCTCAAGTTCACATCAACAGCGCTCTCCGAACAGTGGTTCAAATGACAGAATGTGCCGGTGAAACAGTCGGTTATTCTTCGATTAGGTTGCAATCACGTCACCTTCAGTGGTTATCATGTTTCTCATCAGTATAACTTATCGTTGCACCGGTTGATACCACGATTTGGTATCACCATGATGACATACGTCGTTTTTTGGAGGGCACCCTTCTCGGTGTTGCGGTTAAGGGCGCCCAATATTGATGAACCACCAATAGATGATACGAGTCTTTACGATAACTTATCTACAAAAAAGCAAGGGCAAACAGTCACACAAAGGTTGCCCACAAGAGGCCCTGATTTTGTTTGAGGTGACTGCTTTGGGGCTTCCCATTTATGGAATATTCATGAACCAACCATTAGATGCTATCAGTCCGCACTGTTATGTTTGTTCTCGATGATATGCGTCCACCAGCGACCATTAGATGATATGATTTTTGACTTCCGCGTTGTTTTCCTTATTTTTTTCCTCTCTATTTTTTTTTACTTCTTTGTTCCAACAGCAAAAACAAAGGAACAAATACATAAAGACAATACACACCTGGGTGCCTTTGCGTATGGCGTGCCATGGCCGTGGCGGCCTTCGGCCGGGTGGGCGCCGCTTTGGCCGGCGCGGCGCTGGCCGCCGCGGGGCTGTGGCCGTGGTACGCCGCGCAGCGCGCGGAGAGCGAGGCGCTGCGGCGACGCCTCGAGGCGCCGGCGGGGCGGGGCTGGCGGGGGCCCTGGCCGGGGGCGGGGCCCTGGCCGGGGGTTGGAACGGACGGGTTGGCAAAGCGAAAGGGAAGCGAAAGGCAAACCATCCCAAGAAAGCCAAAGCAAACTGGAGACGGAAGCGAGAGATTTCTCGACAGTTTGCAAAGCCTCTCCTCAACAGGATATTGGCATTGGCATAGCTTAAGGGTTCCAGACTGGCACCCTGAAAGCCACTCCCTCCAAAAGCGAGTCTCTTGGAGGAGCGGATCTTGAGACCTTGCGCTGGTTTGCAAACGGCAAAGTGGTGGAAGGAAGACTCGCAGGCCCGAGGTTCCAGGTGTCTTATCGTCAAAAGCCAGCCAACGTATAGCAGAGATGCCTTCTGCCGGGTGTTGTGGTCAGCTTCAAGACGATGGCTCTCCTTTTTGGGACATCTCAAAGACTGTGTGCAGAAGGCAGAGAACATGTGTTTGAGAAGCGTTTTTTTTTTTTTCCCCTTTGTCATTGAGAGTTTCGCATCGCGAAACCTGCTTGGTTGGCAAGCTCTTCAGTTGTTGAGGGCTGAATATGTTGTATGTTGTTCACTCGAAAGCACCTAGCACATGTGTGAAAACGAAAGCATGGTTGTTGTTGGTAAACATTTCACATTTTTGCTTCCTGTGGTTCAGTGGGAAATCCCTGCTGAACGTCAGCCAAGGAAGGCACCCTTCAAAAAAAAGCGCCCCCCCCCCCCCCCCCCCCCCCCCCCCCCCCCCCCCCCCCCCCCCCCGACCGCATCGCATCCCAGGCCCTCGCGGACCGCTCCGTGGCCCGGGCGCTGGCCGCGAAGTTCTCGAGGCCCTCGCAGGCCTGGCGGGCGCTGCAGGAGGAGGGGAGGAGCCGCCCGAGTCGATGGCGGGAGAAGAAAACGGGCGGGCGCCCGAGCGCCTTCTTTTTCTTCTTTTTTTTTTGGGGGGGGGGTCGCTCACCTTTCTTTTGTTGGGGGGGTTCGCCCGATTTATTTTTATTTTTATTTTATTTTTTTTTGGGGGGGAAGGTCTGCAGGGAATTACCCCCCCCCCCCGTGCAAACATGGAACTCCCGAAAAAGAGGAATGCCCCCAAAAGGGGATTCCTCTATTTGGCTGGTTCGAGAGGCAGGGAATGAGAAACGGAATGACCCCGAGAAACCAACCCCGCCCCAATTTGGGTTTCTGTTAAGGGAAACCCGAAGGAGAGTAAGGACCGAGCCATGAAACACAAGGGCCCGGATTTCCGCTTCAGGTGTTTTGCTGGATGTCATTTGCATATGTATATATACATATATATATATATATATATACATACACGCGTGTCTGTGTTTTTGGGGCGGTGCCCCTTTTTCACTTTAGTTCAAAGAGAAACCAAAAGAAAAGCTGACATCCATTGTGGGCCCAACCCCCGATATTGACACAGCCCAGTACGGGTGCGGGTCACAATTAAGGCTTTGTTTCATTCCTACAAACTAGGGGGTTGTTGGGTACCCTATTTTTCAGCCACAGCCACATAAGGGCCTAAGCCTCGATCCTGTAATCATGACTAAATCTGGTTTACAAGCACCCCAAAATCCCATTCAATTATTTAGGCCCTTACATTACTTGGGTGTTTCTTAAAATAGGAATCGACCCCCTAAAATGACTGCCTTTTGGTTTCCCTTTTATTAAATACCAAAAGGTCCGCCATTTTGATAAGTTTCCATTCGGGGAGGGGTGGGGGGAATGAAGAATTTGCGGTGGCAAGCACCCCCAAGAAAGTTCCCTCCAAACCTTTCAGTGGCTTTGGGGGACTGTGTTTTCTTTCTCCCGCAGGTTGTCCTTTGAAGACAGGCGTGCCGGATACTTGTGTAGGTGTTGCTGGTTTCCCTCCTACAAGGGTAGGCTTCTTCTTGAAGGCATATTATGTTGAGCTTGTCTCAGGAAGGGTGCAAAAAGAAGAACCCTTGGTGTAAAAGTGATCGGGATGCGTGGGGGGCAGATGGGTATATCAGGCGAAGCAGGGAACCTCCGTTTAGGAGTTTAGAAGGACGCCAGCAGACGAAACAAGGGGCGGGTCCCCGTTGCTCTCAATGGCTGATGTGGTGCATCCCTTTATTTTTGCTTCCGGGGGATGCACTTCCACTTTGCTGGGATACCATACGCCCCCTTCCGGGCCATACACCTACTATGTACGAGAAAAAAGAGAGTTCTTTTCCTTGCGGATTCCGTTCCCAAAAGCTTAGATGGTCTGAGAGTAAGTGCTCAGTGCGTAGTAATCGCCAGTCAACTTCGATTTAACCTGCCTGCAAACCGCTAAGGTCACCAAGTACCCCCTCACCAAGTACCCCCAAAAAATATGAAAATCTGGGTGAACCCACCCTCTCAAGCGCCAACCCCTGTGAGTGGAGGGCTTTCGAAGCGCAGGAGCTTCGGCTGCGAAGAGCTGGAGCCGGACTGCGTGGCCCAGGGCGGTTGGAGCCTTGAAACCAAGGCGGGACACAAATGGCTGTGGTCAAAACCGTTTTGGCTTCCCATTTTGGTTGGTAGGTGAATTCACCAGTCATTTTAGAACCTATTTTAGTGGGGATTGGATGTTCACCGGGGGTACGATTTGGATTTGGACCCTTGCCAAATCCGTGCGACTGAGGTCGTTGACATCTTGAGTTTCGGCAGGGATGGATGGCAGGGTTCCTTACGCCCTAATGCTCAAGTACCAACAACATTCTATATACCACTTCCCCAACTTTCGACACCAACCAGTGCCACCACTTCTTCCCCACACCGTTTTTTGGGCGTCGCTTAGCCGCGGCCATGGCCACGGCCATGGGTCCACGTTGCGGCGGTTGCAGCGGCAGCGTCGCGGTTTTCGCGTGAGGCGCGGCTGCTGGACGCCGCGGGGGACGCCTTGGCGTCGCTGCGGCGCTTCGCCGCAGCCAAGGCGCGGCACGAGGCCGCGCTGGCGGCGAAGCGGCGCCGGTTAGGCCGCGGCGGCGGGGCCGCGGCGACGGACCTGGCGCCTCGGCAAAGGGGAGCGACGGACTGAGGCTTTTGGGGTCGGTCTTTATTGGAGGGTGCTCGTTTGTTTGTTTGTTTTTGCTTTCTGGTGGTTTTTTTAAAGGGAAAGCCAAAACGAACACCAGAACTTTGGGGCGGGTTCTTTAGAAAAAGACAGTCGGCCGTTTGGCGACTTTGGGAACCAGTGTGAATTTTGATCGACCTGAAAGGGTGGATATCATTTTGTTGGGGATTCATGTGCACCAACCACTGAAGGTGGTTCCGACTCCTGACCACTTTTGAGGTGGTTTTGGGATTTCTTTGTGGTTTTCCCAACCAACCTGACTGCCCTTTCTACGGCTCCTCGGGGATTTCCTGCTGGTGTTCAGACGGAAGCCAAAAGAAGCCAGAAGGCCGGCAGAAGGACCAGATTCCACCCAAAAGGTCTTACAAAAGAACCCAAAAACAAACCAAAAAGGGAGGTCCCAAGTTTAAATCCGCACCCAAAGGAATGCCTTTCGGGGCTGCTGTCGTGCTTGACTGCCAGCAAGCCACACAGATTCGAAGCGACTTGAGAATTGCCATACCCGGCCACCTGGCGGTTGGGATGGTCACTGGCTCCTTAGCCGAGAATCTGGACAACCCTTGTCAGGATCATGATTTTTCCCAGAGGGCTAAGCAAATCCGGGCGAAAGGTGGAATCCCATTCTTTTTTGAGGCGGGGGGATCCCTCGTTTTCCCCTCAAGCAAGCTCCGGCGAGCTTGCTTGCAGGTGACCTCATATGCCGCGCTGGCCATGGATGACCAAAACCTCTTCCAGCCGGAGGAGTGGAAGAGGGATGCATGCTGTAATGTTAACCCCGGATTAGTAAATCCCTGGTTGATTTTGATAGGGGGGTGCCCGGGGGGTGCCCCCTTTTACTTTTGGAGGGAACACTCTCCTAATAATGGGACGGGTTATTAATCCTGGGTCAACATTACCGACTCAGTGGGTAAGAAATCTGATCATAAGCTGACCCATCCAAGGGGCTTAGGCGGCCTCAAACTGAGGTTTCATTTGGCTATTTCGGGTCTGTGGTGAGACGAAACCGCCCTTTCCTCCGCAACTTACACCACACCCAAACGGATCTTTTTCCTGTGGGTTGGGTCCCCCTCTGTGCTCCTCCCAGGTTATTTTTTTCAAGGGTTTTTGAGCCACTTCCCTTTTTGGAACCTCCAAAAGTGGCAGTTTCCATGGACACCGCCATAAATTGATCAGGAAAAGCTCCAGCGACCCACGCCGCTTCTGAGGAGTTTTCACACTCTTTCGCGGAGGTTTTTCCCCCCTTTTGCTGTGGATGTTGCTCCCTTTTCTTGGCCCCCCCCCTCCTCCCCCCAGCGTGCCACGGACACCTAGAGTCTATGTTGCCAAGAACCTGAAAAAACCAATACCCTAACAGAAGGTGGTTGCAACATAGACCCGATTTGTGTCCATCATACCTGCCCCGCCCCTTCCTCCCCACAAGGAGCGGATGGCTCTTTGAGATCCAGCATCTTTTTGTAGAAATCCATGCGCTCCCTCGCTCCACATCAGGCTCCCAAAAGAAGAAGCTCCCCCCTCTTGTTCACATTTCTTCTTGGAGTTTTCGCCCGTTTTATGCTGGGTCTTTGGACCCTTTTTCTTGGGCCCAGGTTTTCGTCCTTTCAACAACTATCTGCAGAATAAGCCTTTCAACAACCGCTCAACTAGCATTTGCAGTTGTAGTTTCGTCCTTTCACGAAGCACTTCTCTTCCTCAAACTCAAACGAGCCACAATCAAAACCCGGGTAGACGAAGGTTAGTAAGGGACACTCCCCTTGCTATAAATAGCTGCGGATCTCCGCCTTCCTAATTCTTGAAGCATGGTTCTGGGGAGCGACGTTTTTTGGTTTTGTTCTCCAGGTGTTTTTGTTCTGCCTCAAATGAGTTCTAAGACTGGGGAACCCAAATGAATACTACCCTGCGGCCACCTTCCGAATTCTTCACAAGGTTCTGGGGATCGACCACTACTCTGACACTGGGGAACCCAAATGAATGCTAGCGGTTGTTTTGGTGGACAAAATGGCTGGCCCTGGTTTAACTGGTGGTTGAATCATCTACCAGGGAAACCCATCTATTTCCCCTAAAAGGACGCCTATGATTACGACCATTTTACTACCGGGTTTTGATTAGGACTCATTTGGATTAGGGTGAGCCAGCCCGATTGCAATGTACCCACCTCAACCTCTGCCCGGGTTTTGACTATGATTCCAACGGTTTCCCCTCTCGGAGGAGGCCTTGAAGTGGCTCCGGGAGGCGCAGGCCTTGGCCCCTCAGCTGCCGAAGAAGGCGCTGGCGGTGCTGTACCAACAGGACTCCAAGCACAGCTTGGCGGAAAGATGGGGCTCTTTTTTTCTCCGTTAATTGTTTTAGCACATGTCTCCTTTTGGGCTGAATTTTTAGTTGGTGGGTTTCCTGATGAGTACGGGGGGATATATGCAGGGAAGCTTGCAGACACTCACCTTCCAACAATAGATCCTCACTGACTTTTGGTCCGGACCATTGTGGGTCAGACCTTCCATGCTAGTAGAGTGCAATTTGCAGTTCCAAGAACAACAAGGGACAGGCCAGGTTGCGAAATAGACCCATGTCCATCTTGGGGGGGTCCTTCCTTAGGCAAAGGGGATGACGAAACCAAACTGGGAGTTTGGGGTGGACCAGAAGAGGCTGGATTTTTCTCGTTTTCTCACCAATCCAGGAATCCAGGAGGTGAGGGTAAATGCCTGGAGAAGGGGGGACCAGATATCTGGGAAAATGAGCGAGACTCTCGCGGGCATCGGGTTTTGTGGGCACGACCGCATATTCCTGAAACGGACTCGGAAGGCCGCCGGCCAAGTAAGGGCCATGTGACACTGTATTTGGGTGTGTCTCAAAATCGGGGAATTTTCAGCATGGAGGTTTTCATGTTTTTTACCTTTAAGCCAACCTGAAAATGGTACCTCCAAAAAAGGGCACATCCCTGTTTCTTTAACCGTTTTGGGGGCCAGTTGGTTTGTCTCGGAACGTGCACACGAGCAAAACAACTCTTTGGCGTCGAACCAGGGAAGAGAGCCTGTTTCCGAACCTTTGAAATGTGAAATTTCCTCTTGGTTTCGCTTCAGGTTGCTTGGATGAACCGGGTGATGGAAGACAACCATCCCCAAAAGCAGGTTCCTGTCCATGGGTGTCCTTTTTGGTTGTTTTGGTAGAAAAATAGATGGCGATTCCTGGTTGAATCATCCACCAGGGAAATCCATCTATTTCCCCTAAAAGGACGCCTATGTTCCTGTCCTTTTTTTTGCCGCATGTGGGAAAGCCGCGATCGATGTGCCAGGAGGCGAAGATCCACGAGTGCCAGGAGGACTACGTCTCGGCGCTCTTCGTGTTCCAGCACGGCCTGAAGATCCATCGATCCGAGGATCCGGCGCGGAGGGTGGTGCACATGGAGTTGCTGAAGCAGGCGGAATGAAAGGGGGGCTGAACGGGCAGAACCCGGAAAACATCGTCTCTTTTGCGTTTGGTTTCCCGCCTCAGAAAGATGCGCCAGAAGGTGTTTCAGGTTGGTTTTGAGCATTTGGCGCATCTAGTTGGCCAGAAGGACACCTAGGGGGCAGAACACACATGCGATTTGCCTGGAGAGTCATCCCGCATGGTTTCCTAGGTCCCTTAAAGTGACCGTGCTTTTCGGTCCGAATCATTTCTGGAGGGAACTGGCGCATCAAAACCACCGTGAGGGGTGGAGTTCCCGTCTTTTGCGGCTCTTTTTGCATCCCCACCTCCCCCACCTGCCCCCGTCCCCCTCCCCCCCCCCACCTCCCCCACCTCCCATCAGGCGCTGGCGGGCGATGGCGTGCCGCCGGCGGTGGCTGCGTCCATGCAGCGGGAGGCGGAGGACTTGGCGCGGGCCTTGGTCCAGGGAGGCGCGCCGTTTGGGCGGGCGGCGGTCTGGGCGGGCGGCGGTCTGGGCGGGCGGCGGTCTGGGCGAGGGTGAAAGGGTCTCAGTGAACATTTTTGCGCCCATTTTTTTTTGAAACCGAAGACTTCCCGATTTTTTTGGTATTCTCACCCCACACAATGTACTAAACTTGTTGAACGTCCACTTAGAAGCACTCATTTTCCACAGCAGAAAGACCCTCCTTTTCTTCTTTTTTTTGCGGGCTCACGAACCAGGGGTTGTTAAAACAACCTTGGTTCAAATATGTTTCTCTGTGTCTGGGTGTCTGGGTGTCTGGGTGTCTGGGTGTCTGGGTATCTGTGTCTGGGTGTCTGGGTGTCTGGGTGTCTGGGTGTCTGGGTGTCTGGGTGTCTGGGTGTCTGGGTGTCTGGGTGTCTGGGTGTCTGGGTGTCTGGGTGTCTGGGTGTCTGGGTGTCTGGGTGTCTGGGTGTCTGGGTGTCTGGGTGTCTGGGTGTCTGGGTGTCTGGGTGTCTGGGTGTCTGGGTGTCTGGGTGTCTGGGTGGCTCTGTGTGTGTGTGTGGCTACGACAAGGGTGTCCTTTTGGTGGGCTCCCTCCTTCTTTTTGGCCTTTCCGGGATCTTACGTCTCCATTTCCCAGATGGATGGATAGACACGCTTTGACATCTCAGGTTAAGGGTTGAACAGCGGACTCGTTCGGTTCGGTTCTCATGGTGGGAGCCAACTTTTTTCGACTTTGTTCCGCAAGGCCCACTCAGGGAGAAAGACCCCTTGCCAGTTTGCATCGGAAGTTCCGGGCTCCTTTTTATTAATTTCCCCTTTTTTTCCCCGCCTTTATGGTTGGAGGGTTCTGCTTGGAAATCGAGCAGAAAGAGGGGCTATGCTCCTGTTCCTGACCGACGTGAAGCCAGCGAGGATCTAGGATGCGGGCCCTTCACTCGGGGATCCTTTGACATATTGCACAGTTTTTAGATCTATGTCTAATGTTCCCAAGAAAGGACGCTGACAATTCCTTGACCCCCCAACTGTTGGAGCACTTTGGCAGACCATTTGCGGTTGTTTTCAGCAAAGGCCCCAATGCGGTGTCTGTGGTGGCCGTTGGATCATTGGACCTTGGGGTCACCATCTATCAGAACAAACAAATATTGACCCCCCCGATAGAACTTCCTATCTTCCCCCAAATCCAAACAGCTCCAAACCAACGACATCATTTCAATCCTCTCTTAGCTGCAAAAGTCAGCAGCATGGGTGTCCTTTTTGGTTGTTTTGGTCGAAAAAATAGCATGGCGATTCCTGGTTTACCTGGTGGTTTATTCTCATCTACCAGGGAAATCCATCTATTTCCAACCTAAAAGGACGCCTATGGTCAGCAGTTTCAAGGGGGTTGCTCCTCCCCGTTCCACCCGTTCCACCAGGCCATGGGCGTGTGGGCCAGTTCCCCCGGAGCTTCGTGCCGGGTCTGTCGGCTCGTCCCTGGTGGCCCGTGGACGGGGTGGGGCGCAACAAAAAATCCGGGAGACGCACCCCCCTTCCAAGGAAACCCGGAGCTGGTTAAAACCAGCGTTGGAATATCGGAATGCCACCTTTGTCATGGGAAACTTGGAGGTTGTTGTTTACCCACCGGCTTGATGCGGCTCAAATGGGAGGTGGTTGAAACCACTGTTTGAACATACGTGGCTCAACATGGGCACCATAGGCCATCTATTTCCCCTAAAAGGACGCCTATGATGGGCGCTGTTTCACAAACTCGGACTGCCCGAAAGGAAGCGGAGCTTTGGGACGCTGGACACCCGGAGCTGCCGGAGGTCCCGTGGCAGTCGGCGGCCCTGGCGGAGGTGCGAGCGGCGAAGGACCACCTGCTGCAGGAGTACCAGGCGTGGGTCAGCTGGGGCGAGCTTGGTACCCCAAAGGCTCTGAGCGAGACCTTTTGGAGCTTTCCCAGAATTAGTTCCTTTTTTGTTTTAGTTATGTTGCTTGCTTTTTTGGGGTCCCCTTTGTTTTCCACTAACCAGGCAAAACAATTTTTTTTGGCTGGGGTCCCAGTTCCAGCCAAGTTTTGGAAGCAAAATTACTGGCTTTTCCACTACACTAAGCCTGCGAAATGTCGAACGACCTTTTTGCTCGGGCAACTGAATCAAAGAGGCGCTCAACAGGTGGGTTGCAGCCCCGTTTCGGGTGTAGAAACCTTCCCAGCAGGAAGAGTGTTTACTTTGGCGCGGACGAAAGAAGGGTCCCAAAGGACGACTTGCCAAAGAAGGGGTCCCAAACAACGACTTGACAAAGAAGGGGGTCCCCTCACAAGTGGTTGGACATGACCCCCCACCGATTTTTGATGCTCACCGCTCAACTCTTCTCCCCCCAACGTCGCTGTTCGGTTCGCGCGGAGGATCTGAAGGCGCGGGATCTGCTGGACACGGACCGGGAGTGCATCGCCTCAAGCGGCGAAATGTGGCGGAGCTTTCAGGTGGAGGCGCCCTGGCGCCAGGAGACCTGCGAGGCGAGGGGAGGGGCGTTGGTTTGAACACCAGACGGCCTGGCCCAAGGGATCATCAGCTTCCGGAATGCATTTCTTTTTAAGGCTAAAGCAGAAGGGAAGCCAAAAGAGGTTTCTTAAACACCCATGTTACCATGCGTGCTGGTGATCCATGGTGGGCTTTTTTTTCTTCGCTGGGTCGCAAATGAGCAATCGGTGATCAGTTTTACCACCAAAAACCAACGGGCAAACGAGCCAGCTCGAAGGTTGGACCAACCCTGGCTGGCGACAGCCTCGCAGGGAGCCTTTTGAGACCAAGCGGAACGCGGGGCATTTTGGTGACCGGATGGCAGCCACACAGGAAGCCTCGTTCTTTGCAACTTGCTCAAGGAAGCAGGAAAGCCTGACCGCTTTCAGCCACAGTTCATGACGGTTAATGTGCTCATGTTGACCCATATTAATCAACCCCAGTAAGTTAATAGGGGGGTGTTCCCCTCCAAAAGTGATGATCCCCCCCCCTCAAATAAGAAGCTGGGGTTGATTAATACGGGATCAACATTAGCCAAAAATGTTCAAACATGGCTGTGGGTCAACACCAATGGGATCCCATTTTGGGGTAGGTGCACCACCCAGTTTAGAACCTATTTGAGTGGGGATTGGGATGTTCACTGGTGGGTACGATTTGGATTTTGACCCACAGACACATGGGTTCACGCATTCAGTCTTGCCATTTTGGCGCTTTGGCCTTCCGCCTTCCTCCAGGAAGCCTCCGTAACGCCGGTGGCCTGCCGCCTGCTGGCGGCTCTGCGGGGAAAGGAGGGCGGCGTCGCAGCGCCGCTGCTGCGGGGCGGCTACTCGGCGGTGGCGGCGAAGGGACGGCTGCGGCCGCACTTCGGCACCAGCAACGCCCAGCTGAAGTGGCACCTGGGGCCCCTCGACTCGAGCGAGCAGTCGGTGGGTCAAGTTTGAGTCCTCGAAAAACGCCAGAGCTGGTGGGCGGTGGGGTTTAGGGAGCCCGTCGACTTGTGTCTGGAACATTCGGTCGGGTGGCATCAGTACAACCCGAGCTGCTTGATGGTTGGTTTTGAAGGGAAAATCCCAATGTTTACTTTCAGGAACCAGCCGGGGGTGGGGAGGGAAACTGCGGCGTGAGTGGACATGAAACGGAGTGATTCAGATTATATTCTACGTATAGTCAGTGAAGTATAGAAGGTAGAGCACATAATGACTGACAGTTGAAACCATCCAGTGACTCACAGTCATAACTGCATTAGTGATCTTGTTTCAAGACGCACTTTGGGTCAATCCCAATGATCAATGGCCGGTGTATTCAATCAATTCAGTGGTATATCCATTTGGGGGTCAGCGGGTCCGGGCCACGCTTTTCTGAACCAAAGGGGGTCCGCACCCCACCAGCGCAAGGACGCGTCGCCCCTTTCAAGCGCCCATTGATGGTTGGGGCACACAAATCGCAGCGAACGCCCCAAGCGGAAGGGCGACATAGTGCAATAAACACAACGAGAGGCAACCCTTCGCCCAACATCACTTCACATAGCCAAAGACCGCCAAACACCAAACATAGCCCAAAGACGCCACCAAACACAACACACACAACTTTTCAGCCTCCTTTTTTTCATTTTGTTTCCTTTTTGCCTTGTGCAGACTGAATCTTCGTCAGGCTGGCCATCCCTTCTGATGGCGGCAAGCCCTGCGCGTGGCTGCGGGTGGGCAACGAGACCAGGGCCTGGCGGGAGGGCGAAGTGCTCTTCTTCGACGACTCCTTCGAGCACGAGGTGTGAAGGGGAGGTCCGGAAGCGGAGGGAGCGCACGCGGAGCGCGTCGCTCAGCGTGAGGTGTGCTTTTGGATGGCTGGTGGAACTGATGAAAACACCTGGTCCTTGGGCACGGGACACCAAGAAGAGTTGCTGTTTGGGCAGTGGGCGTCCTTTTGGTACAAATGGTTTCGCTGGATTAGCCGGCGTTCGGGAGCGGCCTGGCTTCGGCTTTTGGATGGGGATACCTCCTGGGCGAAAACCAACTAGAAAAGGGCACTGCAGGTCTGAACCCAGCGAAAGCCAATGGGTTCCTTCCATTTGATTCACAAAATGACCTGGGACACCTGAGCTGTGAAACTCGATTCACGATACGTAAAAGGGAAGATGCGGCAAGGATGCGTTGGCGCCGGGCACCCTCAACAATCAAAAAAGATGGGCATGTTCTTCTCCGTGTGGTCATGTGAATCCCTGGAAAGCGATGCAACTGTCAGTAACTAGATGTTGTGTCAGGAGTAGCAGAGGCGCGAGTCAGGGGTTGGACATCAAGGTGTGATGGCAGATTCAAACATCAAGGACCCCGGGTCTTGGCAAATTATAGCAACCGCGCAAACCTTGCGCGCGATGAAGCCTCCCTATTTGAGAGTCAGACGTTTGAGTGCTTTGCCCAGACCTGAAAGGGGGTTTTGTTCGGGTTTCTTTTTGCAGCCCAGATGAGGCTCCTCTTTACATCAAATAGGATTGATGGAACATGTCCTAAATCCTAGACCTGATGTGATCAAATCAGGGGTTGACAGAACCTTAGCCCAGTTGCCCAGTGGCGCCCTTTTTTCTCCTCTTTTTTGCGAAGGGTTCCGGGTTCCTTTAAAGTCAACCCTTCCCAAAACAGGAGGCCGATCCTTTTTGCTCCCATGGAAATCCACTGGGCATCTCAGTTCGCGAAAAGCCGAAGCATCCTTTTGGAGGCATAGGTGTCCTTTTTGGTTGTTTTGGTCGAAAAATAGCATGGCGATTCCTGGTTTACCCGGTGTTTTTTTCTCATCTACCAGGGAAATCCATCTACTTCCTCTAAAAGGCTACCTATGTTTGGAGGTCTCCAACACCTGTTCGGAAGAGCGCGTGGTCTTCCAGCTGGTCTTTGCGCATCCGGACCTGCAGCGCCACAGCTGAAGGCGACCCACGGGACCCATGGGGACAGGGCTGGTTGAACTTCTGGCTCGGAGGCTCGGCCCCAACTGAAAGCCCCACCCCCTAGGCTCGTGAATGGTGTAGTTTGCCCAGAAACTGGTTGGTTCTTCTTGGGCTTTTTTGGAAAACCGAAGGTTTCTCGTTTTTCCAGGCATTCTCTTTGGATGTTCCAACCAATGGGATCCCATTTTGGTTGGTAGGTGAATTCACCACCCATTTTGGGACCTATTTTAGTGGTTGGATTGGGATGTTCACTGGGGGTAATGCCCCTGGTTGATTAATAGAGGGGGGTGTCCCCTTTGAGTGGTTGGATTCAGACCACTTTTGGAGGGAACACCCCCCTTTTTTATGGGGCGGGTTTATCAATCCTGGGTCAACGGGATCAAAATCCCGTTGACCCATGGCCATATTTCCATCCGCGGTGGGTATCACTTCCATGGGCGCAGGTCTCCGAGTCGAAGGCGGAGTGTCCCGGCGAAGCTGGGATTGGACCGTGCCTGACCGAGGCGGCGGCCAAAAACATGTTACAAGTTCTGGGCCTTTCAGGTTGGAGACCCATTTTTTTTACATGTATAACTTGGCTTATATATATATATATACATACATATATATATAACATACCAGAAAGTGGTTTGTTTCGCCGTTTCAGGAGTCTGTTTGATCAGACAGTGGCATTGTTCGCCGCTTGAGCAAAACCGGAAGGACACCTAGGACACCGATCTGTCAAAGAGGAGGGGCTGAAGCAAAGTTGGCAGGGCTGGTCCCACGTGAGGTGGTGGCGTGGACATCGGCCAAGTTGAGGACTGCACATGTCGGTCTTGGAGGACCCGCTTTCGGTGGGTCTGAAAGGGCGACCAAGAAAGGACACCAAAATGCTATTCTTGGGGGGCCTATTTTGACACATCTTTGGTGCATTTTGCTTGGCTGTTAGGACTTTAACTTTTTGCCAACTAATGGGTTTTCCACTAAACCACTAAAAGTTAAACTTTTAGCAGGGGAGCAGAAAGCAACCGAGATATGGGGCTTGATCAAAAGCTTCTTTACATGGGATGACCATTGGGGGAACCCACTATCAAGGCGATGTTTCCCACTAAATGGGAAAAGTTACACATAGTCACTTGGGGACCAGGAATATCGATCAACCCCCAGATCATGGTTGTTGTTGTTGGGAAAGTGGTTGACATCCCCACTGACCTGCTGAAATTTCAATTTTTGCTCGTGGTGTTGCAACAAATGTTTGGGGCTGGTCTTTTGCGACGAGGCCACCTCGAGCAGGGCGCTGGGACCTTTTGGCCGTGTCAATGTGAGAGCGCGGAGCCCTTCTGGAGGGCTGCCCGGTTGGGTTTTCCGCGCGCTGGCAGGATAAAATGGCCGGGCGGTTTAGCGAGTTCGGTGGGGAAAAAAGACACACGACCTGTCCACACAAAACTGGGCTCCAGCCACCTTTTTTTTAAACGCCGATCCGGAGACGTACTGCATCCAGTTCCCTACAGTCGGACAGTTGATCAGCATCCATACCCAATTGAGGAAGTGCTTCTGCTTTGTAGATACTCCAAATTCAGTATCAATCTGTTTCAACCACAAAGGTGGCATCCAACCAGCAAGCTTGGTTGGAATTTGGCTGTGATGTGCTGTGATCATCCCGATGTGCATTTGCCAGAAACGCCTGGGCATCCCGCCAGCAGGTGTCCGTTTCTGTTTGGTAAAAATGATGGTTTCCAATGGTTTCAGTTTGGTTCTTCTCATGTACCGGTGGAATCTATTTTGTGCAAAAGGACCCCAAAAAACCTGAACCCCGTTGGGATTTGAGGAATGATTCGATGTGCCAATTCGCTTGTTCCTGATGGCCCCTATGGCCAGGTGACGCAGGTGGTGGGTTCGGGAGTGGAGGCGGGTTCGGATGAGCGTTTGCTCGAGGCATCGGAATCGCCCCCGTTTGGCGAACCGAATCGCGAGGATAGAATTATTCTTCATGGCTCTTCCTCAGTTTCAAGTGGGGTATGGCAAGGATGAGGGATCGATCCATTTACAACAGACTTCAAGGAGGGGCGTTGAAAACCATTCAAACCATTTTAAACCGCACTCTACCGTCCCAACGCAGCTTATCCCTGACTGTGGAGGAACGGTGTCTGATTGGGGTTCCTTCCCAATTTGAGAACACAACCCGGGCCTTTGGCAGAGAATATATATATATAGGTATACATATATATATATATATACACATGTCAGTGTTGACTGCGGATTGATCCGGAGGACCCTCCTAGTCAGAGGAAAATCCGGATTCAACGGATTCAACATTAGCTACAGGAATTGTGCCTTAGCCTGTGGGCAGTTCGCTTTCCATGCGATCGAGGGGGCCTGTTTGAATCAGTGGGGAGAGTTGTGCTGGAAACAAATGCAACTTGGTAGAATCCTTGGATGACATTTTTCATGGTTGGAGGGTTTCCTCAAAAGGTGCGAATCATTGTCACTTTCGATATCCTCAACTCTGCACTCACCTTTTTGCAGGAACTGACTTATGGCGGGGTGTCAGTTGTTTGATGCCATGGATAGCTGCTTGCTGCAACGCCGGCAGCATTTTGTGGTTTCTCCAAATAGGGATCCAGTGATCCCCCATGTTTGGTGTCCTTTTGGTGTCCCTTTCAATGCCAACCAAAAGGGCGCTGTTAGAAGCAACTTCGAGACACACCTGGACATGAGTGTGAACTTTGCTCGGCGACCCTCTCGACATATCCAGCCATTTTGGGAGGCTTCCTGATTAAAGCTCCGGGCCGCATGTGTCCTTTTCGAGGGGTGGTTTCCTTTTGGCTCGCCTTTAAACCGCATTCATAAACAATGGCCCCCTTTTTTTGGAGACATACTCACTTTCTTTTGCTTAAGAATATTTGTCATTTTCCCTGTTTGGTTTTAAAGTGAATTTGTCACTACTGGACACAATATCATTTGCTTGAGGGAGCGAAAAAGCAAATGGAAGCTCATACTATGAGGACTTCTATATGATGTGGCAGAGGACCATCACCCCCTTTCCCTGCTAAGTTTCGACCATCAGAAATTCTATCACTACTGGATTTTTGTTCCGTCCCCTGGGAAAAAAACAACAACATATTGAAGCTCATCTCTTTTTTTTTTCTCAACAAATGAAGCTCATCGTTCCCCCCCCCCCTCCCGGCCTTTTTTTCTCCGCCAGGCGGTGATCAACTTTTTCAAAGATCGGGGGCCCAAGCTCTTGGTGCAGCAGGACTCGAGTCGAAGCGGACTCGACTCGACTCGACGCGAGCCGCGCCTTGAGGCCGGCATTTAGAGGGGACATTTTTTGGGATGTGATTTTTGGAATGTGATTTTTGGGATGTGATTTTATTCAAGCATGGATTAACCCACGAGTGTTCCAACCAAGCTCTTTTTTAGATGCTGCCGGCTAGCTGGCTGGTTAAACATAGTTGGCTTCTGGAGGTTGCCAATGAACCAGGGGTTGCCAGGGTTTCATATCTGGCCAAATGAACTAGGGCAAATCGAATTCGCCCAACATGACGGCTCCTGGGCGGCGCGGTATGCCAACCTCGTAGCAAGTGGCCAAAGAGCAGCGGCTCCCGAAACAGGCTCCAAGGCGCGGGTGCGGCAAGAACCAACCCAGCCATAGGTGTCCTTTTTGGTTGTTTTGGTCGAAAAGTCGCATGGCGATTCCTTGTTTACCTGGTGGTTTTTTCTCATCTACCAGGGAAATCCATCTATTTCCTCCAACAGGACACCTATGAATCGGGCCGTGGTTTTCCTTTCTTCTTTAAGAACGCTGTTGGCTGTGGCTGCCCCGCGCCAGGCAGAGCAGGGGCCAAATTGTGGCAAGCTCGCAACGAGTTGTGGTGTGCGACCTATTTTCGGGGCCCCACGAGTGTTTTGCTTCCTTTCATAGCGCTTTCCCCTTGACTTCGGTTGGCGACCATGTCCCCCCCGTTCTCCCCCCCCCCCCCCCAAAGAGATCTCTTGAGACACGACTCGCCTGAAGACGCGCTAGGAGGGTGTCAGCTTGGTGGACGAGAAGGCCGGGATCATTTTTTGTGCCCACGCTCAGGCCTCTCAGCCTCCTGATTGGTGCTGTGGAGCCCTAGGAGCGGTTTCCGTTTCCTTGCTCCACTACCAGACCAGGGGTTCAAGTCCCAAATCGCCAATCCAAACCACCAATTTGGGGAAGCCAGACAAAGAACCAGGGCTTCAAACCCCCCAAAGCCACCAAGGGATGTACTGCGCACCCTCCATGGTAGTGCCACCAGGCGATTTCAGGACCCTTGAGTATGGTGACCCATGGTGGCGGTACACTTCCTCCCGCGTAGCACCTGACAGGGAAATGGTCCCAAGGGAATCAGTAGATCTTCCAAGTATGCCACAAACGCTTTTTGTTGGTGGGAAGTATATGTTGAAATTGGAAAGTGATTGCGAAGGCCCTCTGGTTTTTGAGGCCAAAGGAAAAGGGACACCTGCAGGTGTTTTTTCTAACAAATGGCCAACATGAAGAGTTGCTGGAACCAGCTTTCTACCCTGGAGCACCTCCGGGTGAATCACCCACCCCCTGGCATGAAAACCCGAAGAGCTTGACTGCGTCGGGAAGCACCTTCTTTTTTGACTTGAAGGGTGTCCACAAATTAGAGACGGTCTTGGTGAAAGGAAGGCAAGGACCAAGAGTTGGTTGGGAGCACCAAATCAATCTCTCGAGACAAGGGACTCCCCTTGGACTTTGCAGAAAGGTTCTCAGAACCCTTCTCAGAGCTCCCCTTCAAGGATGAGAACTTTTCTTCGTAGGGGCCGGCCCAGCGGCCTATCGGCCTATCGGCTAAGTGGCGAGCTCCTGTTGCCGGGGGCCGCTCGGCTCGGCAGGCCACAGATATGATGATTGGCAAGCCAGTGACACACTGCGCCTCGGCCAGGGAAGAACACTCGTCCGACGGCGGATTTTTTTCGAGCCATGGGAGGGGCAGCGTGATCGGGTTGCC